TGGATTTTTTCCAACCCTAAAATGGGTTAATAGTTTTGGTGTTTCTGAAAATGTTTACTGTTTTAATGCTTGAAGTAGATTTCTTTTTGTCTAAAATGAAGACCACTTGAATTTGTCTGTAGAGCTTTAAATGTGTTAGATTAAAGGGCCCAACCCAATAAAAAACAAATTTGGTTAATGCAGTGTGTAAACGCTGTTAAAATTGTAAAGCGCTCTGTTTACTTCCCAGTCCAAATATGAGAACTAAGCTGCAAAAACAGCTATTTTTTTTGTCAGTGTCAGTAAAACCATTGCATTTACATATATCAGCCCAGCCTATTCATATGGAAGTTACTAGGAGTATTTCAGGCTGGACTAGAGATATTTTGGAAAAGAGATTTACATACAGCATATCTGTCTAAAAGGCACAGTAACAAAATCACCCTGATTAATTCTAAAGGACAAAGACAAGTTTTGCTACATACAAACGCACAAAGGTCATAAATGAACCACAATAAAAGTTAAAAAACACACACAAGAAAAATGTAGAATACTGGCCCTTTATTAATGTTACATTATGGTTCCTCCCATTGACATGATTAATTCAAACAAATCAATTCATTGGATTATAACAGTAAAATTTGGGCTCTAAGTTGTTTCCAGGTGTTGAGACAGGTTTGTTTGTTTGACATGCTAACTTTCTGGCACACAGCCTCCCCCTGCTGTGTGTACTGAACCGTTTATTTCAACAACAAAATGGATGGACCTTTCTAATCCTCAAAGGTCATATTAAATGGAGTGTGAGCCTGACACATATCTAGCAAGTGCTGCCTAATAACTGCAACCTTGAACATGGTTCATCACCATATCTCAGGTCACGGTGGCTCAGGTTCCACTCAGACGACTGTGAATGTGCCAACATGTGGAATCATAAAATACCAGAACAAATTAATTACAATATTGTGTCAAATATTTGTACTGTAAAAGTTAGAAAAAGCACATAATTATTTCCAGGAATTGGATACAGCTGTACACACAATGTAGGTTCTAATGTGATTGACATCTGCATGGTTAAAAGGTCACTAAAGCCCACATGGTGGGAGAAAATATTCAAGGACCTTCTCCATTGTTAAGTCTTCCTGGTGCACAATGCCATGCAGTCAGCCTACTTCTATTTGAGGCCCGAGTGCTCTGACTGTGCCACAGTATGACGTGATGTAAAAGAAATTCTGGACCAGTGACCTTTGTCATGTATGACTCCAGAAGGAGTTGCTATCTTTTCTCACTTCTTCCCATGACAACTACAGGTCAGAGTTCATTTTATTATGAGGTCTAGAATAGCCCCCAAGGCCACTAGAATGCCAATGTCATATACAAAAGCAAGTTCTCATTTTATGGAGAATCCACAGTCAGAGGACATATATTAGGACTGTCAAGCTATTAAAAATAATCATGATTAATTGCATCACTTTTTGTAGTTAACTGCGATTAATAAAAAAATATTTTATTTTTTAATCTGTTGAAATTGTACCCCAATTAATTTTTTTTTTAAGTGCAGTAAGGGTGCATTTAGAAGAGTGGACACAATATGCTTCATACAGAGATTCTCTATATGCACTTTTAAATACAATGTTCTGCAGAGTCACTACAACAGAACATTGAATGCTGTGCATGGTGCATGGCAAGTGTTCGAATGGCAGCTGCCTCTGTGCTCAGTGTGCTTTCTTTATTTTTAACGTTACACTGCTTTGCTATATCCATAAAATGTTCGGCACGCACCTCAGCATGACGTCTGTCCTCTGCTGTCATGACAGTTGAATGCAGTTTTCACTGTTCATTGATATAATAGGCCATAACCTGGAGGTAGCTCTGATTCCCCAGTGATGTCCATTAATCATCAGTAAGTGTTACCATCACTGTTAGCTCCGACTCCTTAGCTAGTTTGGCCCTCTCTGTTTTATACAGCTAGTGTAGCCTAGTGATGACTGTGTCTCTCAAGGGCAACCATAATAGTGATGGGAAAAATGGCTCTTTGAAGGCTTTTAAGCCTTCCTTCTTTTCCAAGAGCTGTTCCCACTTTTTTCCCTTTTTTTTGGGAACGGGGGTTAGGTTTATCTGCAAAATAATCACTAGGAAAATGAAAGGATAAGATTTGGATCAGATTCAAACTTAGACATCCCACTAATATAACTTCATTTCACATATGTAGCATAGGCTTGGCAGCACTAAATTACTCTTATTACCAGACCTAATGTCAATGATCAGCACTGTAAACATTACACAACTTGACATCATATCTCTCTGTTTTGTCAGTGAATTTACTACTCTGAATTTACCCTCTATATGAAATGTGGCTCTCAGTGTTCATGCAGGGAGTGGAATGGATTTAGGGCAAAGAGTCATTGAATAGAACCGGATCATTCATGAACATAACCTTCACTGACTCATAAGTTGAGTCATTGGACATGATCCAAATTATGTCGTGCAGGCCTTCGCCCTCAACTATGTAAATCAGCATGCTGTGGCTATCCATATACAGGGAGATTCACTTGAAAGAGGCCCCGAATATTCTGTTGTAACTCTCATCTGGATGAAGCAATCTGAATCAAAAAAATACACTAAATACCTTGACGTATGTGTATACGTCTGCATTACATACAATGCTGGAAGTGATCTCTGTTTTCTGCCGGACACATGAAGAGGTTCGGACGTATGCACCTGGAAGTTGCAAACGGAAGTTAAACGTCGCGATGGCTGTGCAGCGCCTACCTCATCTCTCAGACGCAGGGGCACCCTGCCTTGTTCGAAGCTCCATATACCGAGGAGCACATTGACCACTGTTTCATTCAGATTACTTCATCATAGCGAGAGTTATTACAGAATATTTGGGGCCTCTTTCAAGTGAATCTCCCTGTATCAGTTGCTACCATTAATTTGCTGGAAGATGACACATCCACTGTTTTCCGCCGAGTACTGCTGAATGTAGTCTGTCACATAGTACAAGCGCTAACACTGCTGGTTTTAAATGTGTGCTTGGCTTGTATGTGATATCATCTGCTGGATGTACTCTGGCAATGACTAAACTCAGCCTGACAGTAACTACACATAGCCTTAGTTTTGTCAAGCGAGCCAGAGACTTGCTTTGAGTATTTGAGTGACCAGTCCAGAAAAGCAGCAGCTTTTTTGTTTGACTTGCAAACTTTCTTTTAGAAATTTTGCTAATTTTCTTTCTGTTTCCTTTTCTCAGTAAGTTCTTCTTGACAGCTACACATCCTTTCAGATCCAAAGCACTGAGTTGTCTTCTCACCATGGAAGGATGGACAGAAACACCTATGGATTCTTTTGATCTAAAGCAAGAGTGGGGCTTGACTTTCTCCTCTTCCTTAAAGATGAAAGAAAGTAAGATTTAAATTCTGTTTATCCGAAGTCGACAGTTTTGGTGGTCTACCAGGTCTTGCATGGCTGTCTGGAGTTCTGTGTTCACATTTTAGAAACTCCTGTTTTTTTCCCAATTTGTTTTCTTTGTCTTTGCCATTGTTTATAATACAATGTATAACTCGTACATAATGGCCACATTCACTGGAAATTAAATAAATGAGGGGTGATATCGTACTTTGGCATAGTACTGTACTTTTTTAGCAGATACTCTTATCCAGAGTGACTTACAGTGGCAGGTAAATCGTCTCTGTCCAAAAACAGACTTAACTTGCATAAAATACGCATTAACATCCCTGCCATGTTCACAACGTTGCCTATTTTTTTCCCCAGATAAATATAGTGCGAATATGTCTTAAATATTCAATACATCACCCAGGCCTAAAATGGTGCATAATTTGTTTTAACTCCTTCTCTTCTCTTGACAGAATATGGCTTTCACTTCACTTTACTTTAGCTTAGACAGATACAGCAGAGAGGCCAAATATGGTACAAGAACTAAGTGTTGTCATCATGTGATCAAGTTGTCACTGCATGTTTTTAAATTTCAAAATCAAGTTTTAACTCCATTAATTTCTATATTTTCTCTACATATTTCTCTTTAATTTCATTTTTCTGTTGGAACAAAACCTCGTATCTCCATTTTTTTTTTGTTTTTCAGTTTTTGACATAATTTGAGAATGTCTGTTTCCCTTTAAATTGTGTGTAAATTACATGATAAATGGACCAAAAAAAAATTATTGGTAAAAAGAAGTCTGGTTCCACTGACATACATTAAAAGTAAAGTATGTTTTTTCCATATCCTGAAAAGTTACTATTTTGGAGATACAAAGTTTTGTTCTGACAACAGCAATATACTTATAATATAAAGGCATATAATTCTCTGCAAAAGTCTGAACACCCCCATTCAAATTATGTTGTGTTTGCCAAGTTTAACATACTGAAACAAAAAATGTAACATAAAATGTAATATGTGCAATAACTTTGGCACAAGGTACGTATTATGTTTATTTTCAGTGTTTTAAATTCAGTAAATAAACAGTAATTATGCATTAAAATGTACAGAAGTGTGTTTGCTGTAGAGAATGCATTAACTATTTTCACTTAAAAGACAAACTAAACTTCTCATTTGACCAGGAGCACCCAAACTTTTGCATATGACAGTACATGATAAAGTTCTTGTGGAATACACATAAGACAATTCAGTAAATACCCAAGATCAAAAATGAAAATATAATGAGAAAAACAGTTAGCATGTTATTTGAACAATTTCAGATTTTTTTTACCTCAAATATATATTTAATTTCTATGGGATTCGGCTAAAACTACCTCTGGCACAGGACAATTCACTGATTTCTTGTTGGATTCAGTGGACAGACTGCCTACCAATGCATTGTCACTTTGCACAGACACTTAATTAACCCCTTTCTGCCCATGTTAAGGTGAGCTAGATCATGTCAAAAGTCATTTAATGTTATGATGTGTCAACTGGGAAGGAGGTGATAAACTGCTTCACTGACCCACCCATAAGTACACACACACTCTCCCATTACTTACTCTGCCAGCCTTTTGCTCTAGCTCCTCCATCCACATACAAAAGGAAGAAGCATTTGTTGGCAGAAGCCAAGGCTGAGCACAGGGGGGAACTCGCTGCAGGAGCACACCCTCACACTGCTCAAAGGATTTATTACCTAGCACAACTTAGAGGCAGCACTCAAATATCAGGAGTGCTCCGAACACTGCTTTGCAGGAGCTGAGAGGAGAGTGCGGAGGACTGAGAACAGGTAAGTTTCCTTCACCCTCTTTATCAGGAAGAGTACTGGTAGTAACAAGATGACTTACAGGGATAAAAAAGGCAAGAAGGTTCACCTGCCTCTGTGTGGCTCCCAGCTTCTGCCCTAAACCTCCACAAACTGAAGGAGAATGCAGTGCAAAACTTGTCTAGAGTGTCTTTGTTTTCAGTTTTGTGCCCTTTTCTTATTTGAATGGTCTACAGCAACTGTGGACCTTTACCAATGCAAGACAGAGGTGAACCGTTGGCATGGCAACCCCAAATTACCTTGAATGTGTTGAAATGAAGAGGACAGTCTACTCAAGGTTACAATCCTTTATGTGTAGTAACCAACATTTTATGAACATCTCTTTTTTAAGACCATCTCACCACTTCTCAGCTCTAAATACCCAATAAACCTAGTTTGAGTATACTTAAGGGACTGGTGCTTAAAACAGATCGTGTTACAGTTACTTAGGTGGTCACGCATAAAATCATTTGAGTCAAGTATGCATGTTCTTGGTTTAAGTTGTCAGGTCAGGTTTCAGGGTGTGAGAGGTGATGGTCAGGTGGTATGAGGTCATAGTAAAGAGGTTGCTGAGGGCTAATAATAGAGGAGTGCAATAGATCAAAATCTCTTTCCAGACATTTCATATTTTGGTAAGATGGGAGGGGACACTTTCGAGTTCTCACCATTCAGACATGTATAATTAACATAAGATAAATTCCTTTATGTAACATATTTTATGATGTAATAGATCAAGCTTACTGCATTTGGTTCCTCATGTAAACCCATAAGGGGGAGGACTTCCATGTCAGGGAATGCTGTGGTACAGTTGTACGCAAGATTTTCTAAGTGAAAAAAGTGAACAAGTCCTCTACAGGGAACAGACTTGTGCACTAAATTGCCATATTTAACATATTATAACATAATATGTTAAATTCAACAAATAAACAGTAATTATGCACTAAAGTGGGTAGAAATGTGCTCTCTGTAAAGGATGTGTTAACTTATTTTCAGTTCAACAAAATGTCATTTGATTAGGGGTGCCCAAACTTTTGCATACGACCATATTTGCCTGTTGCAAGGAACTGTCTTCATTCATTAAAACTGCAATATACTCCTGTAGCGCTGGGTAAGTCACAACATCAAAAGGGTTCCCCCTGACAAATAACCTTTATTCAATTGTCTCTCATTCACTTGTTGTTCTTAAGAGGAAATTCCACAGAATCAACAATATTTCTGCACAATTCAACCATCAAGACACTCAGAGTGGTTTGATGTGAAATGCTCTCAACCTTTTCCACCCCAAGGCCCACATGTTTATACACACAAAGCATATCGGTCCGCAGGAAAACTAAAATCAGCTCTTTTTTTGAAGTGCTGACACTGAAAACATGAGAATTGGGGCCTGAAAAAGATCAGACCAGTTTAATCACAGAAGCCAAAATTACAGTTATGTTAAAAATCATGACGTAAAAACATATGGTTTCAGTGATGTTACCCAAACCAGTATGAGGTAGATGTGGACTGGATGGAGCTGCAGTCCATCGCGTTTTCACAGAAAATTATCCACTGCCATCGCCATAAGTAATTGCTTGCTTTTACAATGTATCTTAATTTTGAGGGTTTTTGTGATTCATCTGAAATAGCCAAACCTCACTCCTCTCACTGGGCTTTTGGATTAGTTCTGTCACAATCAACAATAATACTAAACCTTACTTCATATCTGCTTCTTTAGGACTGGCTTATCAATTTGACCTTGACCACTCCGGTCACTGATGCTCGCGATCAATGAGCCGAATTGAAATGTGGATCTTCGCTATTATTTTAAAGCTCATCTGTCATTTTTAACAGCTGCAGCTGGTGCTGCAGGGACGACATGAAAGCAAATGAGAGTCTGTAAAGAGTCAGACATTAAAACAGGCAAATTATGCTGTCTGTATGGTGCCAAAAGTGCTGCTAGATAAGAAGGAAAGCGAGCTCTATTGATGAATTCCCTCGTTTGATCAGAGAACATGTTTCCGTCAGCAGTGAGCTGAGCTGGGGTTTGTTCGGAAGCAGAACGAGACCCGTGGTTTTTGCTGGTCCACGGTTCAGCCGTGTGTTGTAGATCTGAATATGGGTGGAGCGTTCACACACGTCAAAATGAAGCGAACTAAAGACAAGGTGTGATAGGTCCCCACCAAACACCCTGAGGAGCTTCTTCTGGCACTTTAGGCCAAAACCTCATCACAAAACTATCGTAAAAAAAAGTCTGAGACATTGAGACCATTCAATAATGTCAAACCATCGATTTAATAATTGATAAATGCTAAAGAGTTCTGCAAACTAAGAGAGTAGCACTGCTTAACATTAGCCAGTAGCTCAGCTAGCATGATAACAGCTCTGCTCTCCACAAAGAACTCATTCTATTCTGGCTAACTAAAGCACTGACACAAGTTTAGATGATAATCCCATATGGAAAAAAAAATACATTTCAATTGTATTTATCAAATATATTGTTGCAATGGATAAAATTGCACAAAAAGTAATTGTTAAATATCTGTTTAAAATGCATTTATTTGTATGTGTTATTATATTTTTTCAGTTGTATGTAGTTTTAACAAAGTTTACAGATATAACTAAATATACATGAACTGAATGAAATGATACTCACTTCTGTGTTTTTCATAAACAAGATATCAAATCATAACTGCACTTTTACAGTGTATCAATAGCTTCAGCATGTGTTTCTGGAATACCAATTCATTTCAAAAAGTATTCCAAACAGTAAAGTACATTTTCAAATGTATTTGATAAATATATTTACATATATTTATTTTGTATGTTACATTTCTATGTGTAATATTTCCCCAAGTGTTTTAAAATAGATTTGGTTAATATGACAATATATTCTGAACTACATTTTAGTGAATGTATTTCAACACAGATTGTGATGTATTTGAAATGTATTTCAAACATAAGAATACATATTCCTATATTGTTTTTCATATGAGATGACTCAGTTCTGAGGGAGGGAAGTTGAGCATCTGGCGATGAAGGGACAGAAAGGTGAAATAAAATGTTTTTTGGCGTTTGGATCTGCAGCTTGATCAACTAACTTAACGTTAGCTTAGCGAGCAGGCTACAGACCCAAACAGCGCAACCACCACAGTACAGGATTGATTCTGACTAAGCAGTGCTCAGACTAGTTTAAATGATCAAAACTAATGTCTGAAAGAGCAAAAGTCGAGTGAGTGACAGAAAGCCTGTCCTGTGGTGTTTGAGATTGCAGCATTTATTAATTAACAGGCCAAATGTGCCACACAGCACAGACTTGGTTCCAGCTATCTAATGCTAAAATGACACTGTTTAGAAGATATCTGATAGTGCAAAGTTGCCTGACTGAAAGCTGAAATTGATCATGTTCTGTGTAGCCATCGTTGAGTTACTAGACACCGCACTCTGGTACCGCACCGTTCACTTGTTCAAAACCATTGTTTTTAATAAAGGTCTGCACACCGGCACCTCTATTCTTACATGCTTGTATCGTAACAATAGCAGAACCCTTTTTGGTGCTATACAGTATCCTTTTCAAAATGGTTCAACATTGTGGTGATGGCAGTAATGAGCTCAAACCTGCGGTATGCATCACATGACCGCTGTATTGCGATAAAGCAGCTATCGTCGTTATCGTCACAGCCCTTATTTCATCAATTTGTTTTACTACATTTCAAATAAATATAACTTCATTGTATTGTATAGAACAAAAACAATCACAGGATACTTACCTACAAATAATGGAATATGATTGAGAGGTTCCAACAGTGGCAGTTTTCTGAGCTGAACATCCTATCAAGAAAAAAAAAATCATAGTAGGTCTTTTGATAATTATATTTTTCCAAAAATAAAGTCATTGAAATCTAATTTTTAAGCACATCACATCAAACATACAGAAGTGAACTGGATTAGCAAGATAACTGATTTGATTACTTATAAGGTTATATTCAAGAAAGAGTGTTTTTTTTTCTGTGTGTACCAAGTCAAAGCATCACCCAGCATACAGAGATGAAAGGTTAATGCTAGGATTCAGGTTTGAGTTCTTTGTGTGTTGACTACAGATACCCCTGCAATGCAGTACACTAAAAATCCACTGTTTCCTTAGAGTTTTTCTTTTTTCTGTTGACACACAAGAGATCTAAGATTTGACTTTCGTCCAGGCAGGTATGGCATATATATACAAAAAAGAGTTCTTGAAATAGACACCTAACATTACATTTATCTTCACTGTGGACAAGCTGTCTGCTAAACATGTAGGATAAGGTTTTTGAATGTTGAGCGAGTTGAATGTTGCTTTGTCTACAAATCTGTTTTTTTCTATAATAAAGTGAGATGAACAGAGTATAAACTTCATTAGATAAAACAGTGTTAATAAGACTTTCTCTCCAGCTTCAGCTGATGAGGACGCATTCTACCTTATACATATGCAACTGTGGTCGCTCTTTTTTTGAATGGATTTTTTCCCGCCTTTTAAAGCCAGGTGTAAATTAGTGGCTGTCTCAGACGTGTTTTGTTGACGGACTGGAAAGAATATTTACCAAGGCCACAACACTACAGCAACAAAACAGCACTATTTCAACTCTCAGGGCCATGTGAGAGCTGCAATATGCCATCTCAATTAATGTTATTTGATCCCAAATTCTGTTATCTCTTCATCACTGACCTTTCATCCCGCATTTCTTGACAGCTACACCATTTTGCTGCACCTTTTAAACCCTGCACCTTACTAGAGCATGCAGTAGGTGGTTTTGTGTGCAGTTCGCATGAGTAGTTACAGCCTTAGTAAATCGAACATTAATTTCAGATAGAGTGAGTGTGTATTGTGGTCATACCAAAGCACATTTTGCACTATGCTTGCATGTGTATGGTATGTGTATCTGACACAATGTTTTCTTTTAGAAGCACGATTTGCAGTCAAAAGTAATAAATTACAAAATGTCACATTGCAGTACTTAAAAAATATATATTTATAAAATATTAAAAAAGAAAAATAGGTATGCACTGCTTCCATTGTTTTTACTTTTAACAGAATTATCAGGCATGATTTCTGGACATATGATTCTTCACTGCCCTGTTTAATAAATACCTCTAAATTCACTGGATATCACTTCACTTGCAGCTGGATGATGACTTAAAACATCCTACTACAGCACCTATTGAGTGTGTAAATGGAAAAAATGAAATGCCTTAACTGGCATTCTTAACTGGCTAAGCCAGATACCTTTTTTAAATTCCACTGGCCATATACAATACATGGCCAAAAGTATGTGGACACATGATCATTACATCATATATAATGGCTAAACATCTTATTCCAAAACTCCAAAACTATGCACATTAATACTGAGCTGATACCTTTACTACTATCACAGCCTCCACCCTTGTAGGAAAGCTTCCACTACATCTTGGAACACGGCTGCAGAACTTTGCTTCCATTCAGCCACAAGAGCATAAGTGAGGTCAGGCAACAATATTGAGCAATAAGGCCTGAGTCGCCATAGGAGGATAGCCCCAGACTATTATTCCTCCTCATGGCCGCTGGAACAATGGGAGCGAGCTGACATTTGACCCAGCACTTTTCAAAGCACTAGGGTGATGCCCCAGCACTTTTTGATAGAGTACAGGCTGTCTGGATTGAAGGAAAAAAAAATACTCTCCCTTACCGCACAGACCACTGACCTATAGGCATAAACAGACAGTCAAACTCAGCAGCAGAACCAATTAAAATCTCCATTTCAGCTTGACGGCAGATCATTTGCTAAAAAAGTCGAAACCTGTGAGACCTCATGTTCAGTAAATAGACTGCTTCAGCTCACTAATCCAATAAATGTTTTTGTGCTGACACAAATATTTATGCATTTTATGTTAGTACACTATGTAAAAAACACTATGTGAAACACAATTTATGTTAGTACACTATGTGAAATGTACTTAAAGTCAGGTTTTGCATTTTTACAGTTACTTTGCTATAAGACACAATTTCAAGTGAGCATGTAATGTATGCTATCTAAGCGAAGCTCAGCAAAGCACATGTGGTCTAAAGAAACAGCCACACTGATATTGTTCATAAAGAAGTTTGTTGTAACGTCATTACCTATAGCCATATGGAAGCTTTAGTTAGTCTGTGAGTACTAAAGACAGTTGTCCAGTTGTCTTTTGTTAATCTTAAGCTTAAGTCACGTCAAGTTTTTTTTCCCTTCTATTTTTTTGGCCCACCACTGTTGGAGGCCACCCGTTTCTTCATAGTCAGCAATATGCAATCAGTGTTCTCCAAACCCAAAGCCAGGTTCACATTCATAGAGAATGTGTTTACACTGCTCCACGGAGTCCAATGACAGTGTGCTTTACATCATTCTAGCTGACCTTCGGCATCGTGCATGGTGATCTTAGGTTTGTGTGTGGCCACTTGGTCACAGAAACCCAATCCATGAACCTCAAGATGAAAAGTTCTTGTACTGATGTTGCTGTTTGCGCTGCAACAGAGGACAGATCATTTTAACATGTGAAACACTCAGTGGTCCCATTACGTGAGCTTGTGTTGCGCATCACATTACATCTGAGCTGTTGTTGCTTTTAGACATTTCCCCTTCACAACAACAGCACTTACAGTTGCCTGGGGCAGCTTTAGCAAGGCAGAAATTTGATGAACTGACTTGATGGAAAGGTGGCGTCCTATGACAGTGCCAAGTTCAAAGTCAGTAAGACACATTTTTCTTTGTCTCTGCAGACCGAATGGCTGTATGATTAATGCCAGCAAAGGGTGTAGATGAAATAGCCAAACCCACTATTTACAAATATGTGCAAATTATTGGCCATATAAGTGAAACACACTTACTGAATATCAGACTGAAGGCAAAAAGCTCCAACAAAATGGACACTGAAAACTGGCTGCATTACAGGCCAGACAGAACAACAAAAGGCTAACCATTTTTCCAAGCAAATACTAAGAATGACAATTTAATGTAAGATTTGTTATCCATGATGTCTGGGGGTGAGGGGAATATGTACAAAAAGGTGTGTTATACAATATATTTATAAATACTATTAAAACAGTCTGATTATCACACATACTAACCTCATAGTCTTTGTGGTATTTAAAATGTTCTGTTCAAAACAACAAAAAAGTGTCACTATTCTGTTACTTACTGCTCTATAAATCTGTGTATGGCTTTGAAATTCGTTCATAGGGCAGTTATTGTATAAATTGCCTAGGGTTACTGGGATTATGCCATCTTTTACATCACATAGCTGCTATTACTGATTATAATTTAAACAAGGTAACCACTAATTTGTAGCAGATTACATTTTAGTAATGACCCCAACTATGGGCACTGGCCACATTTTCCCAATTGGACAAATGATAGTTAAAATCTTCTGGAGCCATGTTCCGTAGAAGTCAAGTGCTAAGAGTGACTCAGAACCATTAAGAACCATTGAGAAAACATAAATATCCAAAAGGGGCACTTTGACTAGGTCAGTCCATTGAAGTGTTTATGTGCAGCACAGCATTATAAGTGGCCCAGTGATGTATTGAGTTGAATTGGCTTGGCTCAGCAAGGGATATTTAACTCTTAAGCACCCTGTGTAATGACATATTCTGTCTATACTCTAAATAAAGTACTGACAAGCTGGTTGATTTATATAGCAGTCATTTCCTCACCTACAACATAAGCTTGTGCTGCTGTAATATTGATACATAAGAGGGCGACAGAAGTCGGTGCCAATTTTCATTTACGCTAAGCTAAATGCACAGCCTGTTTACTGGAGGGAACCTGTGATATATTTTAATGCTGTATGTTGCACACATAGTCGCAAGACACTAATTGCCACCTAATGGACATGAAGGGAAAAACAATCGGCAGCATAGATGTAGGTTATATGCACACATGAGACTGGGTTACATGCACATCTATACTAGTGTCAAGTGGGGGCCTACTTTCACACTAATTTTACTGCCTCGTGATAGCGCTCGCCCAACATACCATTGACGGGTAATTATGTTATGAAGCATGGCTCTGGTTTCTCGCCATGGCAAAAATGTTTCCTTTTATGCTGCCCAGATCTGTTCAGAGAATGAGGCCTAGCCTTAGATGACTTCGTCAGTCTATATGCAGCTAATTTATTGTACACCGATGACATAGTAGCTTTAGATTAAATGAAGCTGGTGTAAAAAAGATGGACTGTTTAAAGCAGCTGATGTAAGGCCAGCTGGTGGGCTCGGATGTCCTGTAACTCAGAGAAGACCCTCCTCCACCCCTTCCCTCCTCTCAAACAGCTCCAGTTTCAGGCTGTTTAGCTCGAGAGTGTCAAAGGCCACACAGCTCATTTTCAGGCACTGGCATGCACTGAGAACATTGCACAGCGGGTAGAACTGTACTCTGTTTAAGACATGCATTCAAGTGCAGAGTAAATCATGGCCTAAAAACATAACAAAAATAAATATAATAATAATATTATAATCATAACTGCATAATATCACAGATAAAATAGGTAACAAATTAAATAAATAACCAACCTTAAAAGTTTTCTGGATTAAGACTTGAAAATGAGCCCATACCATTAAGTGCATTATTCACTGATATTACACTGAAAAGAATCATTCTGTATCAAAAGCATACTTATGACAAATAATACCTATTAAAACTATTTCCAATTCACATATAATTGAGGTAGCTGCACTCACCTACAGTTCCCCTCAGCCAGTTCATTTACTGTAGCATTTCTGTAGTAATATTGAGCAAAATAGGCCTTTTAACACAACTTGCATCAAACCCCACCCTCTTTTTAAACCAATCAGTGAAGGGCAGAGGCCTCAAAATTAGACCTGAAAAATTAGAGCTCAGATTTTACAACAGAAATACCCGAATCATGCAGACTTTTATATGATACCTGACCTATCACGTGGATGAAGAATGAATGGCATGAGCCTCAGGGCCCTGGAATAACATGCAGTTATAGCTGATTATATATGATGCTCCCCGCAATGCCCAGCTGAAGTATCATATCTTCACTAAGTTAAAACTATGAAACCTCTGTGGCACAACACTATCAGACAGATTGATAGGGCAATGAGACTTTATGATGGAAAGGACAGTATGGGAATGGAATGCCTTATACAAGTTTTATGACAAGACCATGAATGTTTTTAAGAGGTATTCAAGATACAATGATAAGGTTGCAGGTTTTCCAGAGCACAAGAGTACTGCAAAACTCATTCTGTCCTCACTCTTAAGGTCAGAGCAAACCAGCCCAACAAACACCAACAAAACTAAGTATTTGGTTGGTGTGCCATATCTGTGTGTGCTTGGTTGGAGAGTTTAGAGTGTTCTCCCCCATTCACACTGGTTCATGTGGTTCATTAATGCAATAAGCCACCAAAGGCCATGCAGTACAGTGAGAGTCCCTTACTCTTGATAAAATCACTGTAATGCACAGTGTAATCTCAAGTGGCTTACTGCCTTTATAAAACAGTCGACAGCATAAAATATGATAAAATACACATTTTTGATAAGTATTTGAAGTTCTTATTAATAATCATGATAAATAATTATTCCACCAAGACAGGTAGTTTGTTTAGAGCATGCTATTGTTGCCATGCAACCATGGACCACTGACACCATGTGTGTTTTCCAGTCTTTATTTTGCACCAAGCTAATGCTGCTGTATTTTTTCCCATTCTAAATCTCTAATGGCTCCCTACATAGAACTTAAAATACTGGCTCTTGCACCCAAACAGTGCATAATATATCTAACAAAGAGCCATTTTGGATTCAGTCATGAGTGCACAATTCCATATTGGACAAAAAGTGCACTATTTGGGTTTAAAAGCCAGAATTTCATGATCACAACAGTATGTAAGACATTCAAGTGACATTCTTAACTTTTTGATATTGCAGTTTTACTATTAATCGTGTAGTAAGTAATTTAATTCAAAGCCTGGGATAGTAATGGAGGAGTTGTATAGCCTTGCAGTTTAAACAAAACTGGGTTCCTACTTCATCCGCTTGGTGGTCATGGCTGGTCTATGGTCTAAATTATTTCTTTCACAGAACACGGATTTTAGCGACAAGGCACTATAATACAGTTAAATTTTAAACATTCTTAAACAACTACCAACATTACATCGCAGTTGGAACAAAAAACTTCTTAACTTTCAATGTAAGTTGATGTAAGAAGATTTTATTCTAAGCCATTCTGGACCATTTCTATTGGTCCATTTATCATAAATTTTGACACGATGTAAACAGTAGCTGGCATTTTTAAATGATGTAAAAAATGGCAAATTTGTAGATACAAGGCTTTGTTCCAACAGCGAGAATTAGAATGCTGGTGTTTGTTGGATTGGTGTGCTCTGTCCTTTACTATTACAAATACCTCAACCATCAAAACATGTCAACATCATATCAACACATGCGTAGTGAGGACTGAGTGCCTGAATCAGGTGGTGTATTTATGTGCTGTGGTTGGGGGAGATGAATGACTGGAGCTGATGATAGGTTGCTGACCAGGCCTGAAGTCTCTCTAATGGAACGTAATGTACCTCCCCACCACATTCCATCATTCTCAGACATCTAGATATTTCTGCTGGGAAATCTAAACTATACACATGGTTTCTAACTGTTGTGTTTACGCTGCATATCTTTTCAGTAATGAAACTCAATATACATTTCAGTGAAGTATATACTGTGCTGGGGTTTAATCGGAACCAAGCAAAAAGAGATGACTCTAAAAGTACTGTTTATTTACAGTACTGATAGGAATTTTACTAATTAATCTCTCTCTCTCTTTTTTGACAGTGATAGTTCTCAAATACTGAGACACCTGGAATTTTCAAGATGTGGAAGAAGTCAAAAGTTACAGATCAGACTGCCACAGGGCAGGGCGGTAAGAACACAGGCCTACAGTCCCCCATAGCCCCACTCGAACACCAAACGTTTAAAGGTTCCATAACTGAAATGGTGACAGCAGAATCTGTGACATATCACAGACTTTACTAGAAAAAATGCAAACCTTTTTTTCGTTTCATTTTTGATTTTTTTTGTCTATAACATGCATTTATTTAGTTTTATTTTATTTTATTTCATTTTATTTCAAGACCAAGCGCCAGTCCCATTGTGGCTCTCCATCTGAAGCTCTCAGAAAGTTTGTCCTCAGTTCTTGACTCTAATTAATGACTCTAACTAATCCAAGACAAAGGAATAACAATTTCTAAATGTATAGGATTAAAAGGGATCAAGAAAAGGAGCATTACACTTTGATAAATCTGTCCGCCTGTCATAATTAAATGTCTTAATTAAGAAGACTTACTTCCATGATATTGGGCTCACTTATTATTAAAAGGAGCAAAAGAAATTCTAAAGCTGCATTTGTAATAAAACACTGGAGTGGAAACTAAAGTCTTTTACACTTTGGAATAGGGTACGATTAAAGTGTTGAACTCAACCGAAGTTAATCAGAAGTACAGAGAACGAACAGCAGCCATCCGTGTTATAGCTATATCCTTAAACAGTTCTTCTGTACCGAGAGATATGGACGCTCTGAACTGCAACATTAACCATTTAACTTAATGTCTCGCTATTTTGACCTGGTCATTTTTTACTTCTAAATTAACCAAAAATCATTTCATAAGAGGTCTATTTATGAAAAACTTCTCCTTGTACATCTCCTTGTATTTACACTCAATGTCCAATTTAGCAGGTCCCCTTAGCATATAGTTACCCTTTGTAGTTCTACAATCACAGACTGTAGTCCATCTGTCTCATATGCTATGTAAATATGTAAATAGATATACTTTTACTTTTATTTTATTCTCTTGTACTTTAACTTATGTCTAGACTTTATTTCTGTTTTCTATTTTTCTGCATAGTATATGTAAGTTTATGTGCAATTATATGTCCTGCTACTGAAACACTGCAATTTCCCTCCGGGATCAATAAAGTTCTTTCTTCTTTTCTTTCTTCCTTTTCTATCTATCTATCTATCTATCTATCTATCTATCTGTCTGTCTGTCTGTCTGTCTGTCTGTCTGTCTGTCTGTCTGTCTCTCTGCATACTTTGTTAGCCTCCTTTCACCCTGTTCTTCAATGGTCAGGGCCCCCTCAGGACCACCACAGAGCAAGTATTATTTGGGTGGTGAAAAACTCCAGAAGCACTGCTGTGTTTGATCCACTTGTACCAGCGCAACACACACTAACACACCACCACCACGTCAGTGTTACTGCAGTGCTGAAAATGACCACCCAAGTACCTGCCCTGTGGTCATCCTGCCCACTGAAGAACAGGGTAAAAGGGGGCTAACAAAGTATGCAGAGAAACAGATGGACTACAGTCTGTAATTGTAGAACTACGAAGTGCACCTATATAGTAAGTGGAGCTGATAAAATGGACAATGAGCATAGAAACAAGGAGGTGTAAGTGGCCAGTATGTGTACATTTAGAAGTCTAGTTACAGCTCTTTCCTTAATAACTACATTCTTAGTTAAAACAAACATAAAATAAAATAAAAAAAAAGACAAAAACAGATTATATACTGCACCAAAAAAGGGTCTATGGCTTGTAATAACAGTAGTACCTTTTTGGTGCTATAAAAGAACCATATAGAACAAGTTTTCCATCACAGAGAATAACTATTTATTTCGAATGTTTCTTTGTGTTCAATGTTCTAAATATAACCAACCACTTTAAATAAGAGCCCTTGAACGATAATTTTTAGGGAGGGTGTTTGTGCTTAAAAGGAAGGTTCCTAAATAGTTCTCGGAAAAACTTGGTACAGAACTAATGTAGAAGCTGTACATTAGATAAATATTCTGTAAACTTTAAAAAGGATCTTTACACTATGCAGTTCTATAATTACAGTAGAAAAATATTTATAAAAACAGTTGTTTAATTGAAAACATCCAGTGAATCAAAGATCCTTTTCGGCACCTTTAATTTTAGGAATATTCCTTGAAAACATACAGGTATGTTTTAACTAGACAGTAGGTGGCGGTGGTGCTCAGAGTCAAAGTGGGCTGAAATGATCTAATGTTAATCTAACGCCGTGTCCAAAGAGAAACATGTATCTTCATTTTTCTTGATTTTTATCTTTCTTCAACATTGAACAGGGCAGCTGCTCTTTACATTGTTGAAAACTTTATGATGAATGAACCGATAGAAATGCTCCAAAATTACTTAGAACAAAACCTCTTTATATTAGCTTACTTTAAAAGTTAAGACCATTTCTGCCTTCTCCTGTAAAGTTACTATATTGGAGATATTTGTTCTTTTTCGGACACTGACAATAACTGGGACCTTAAGAATTTTTTTTTTTCTATTAGCAAAATAAATTCTAGAAGTGCTTCGCTATCAGCAAGCCATTACTGTATGGATGCCTTATAGTACAAAATACAATGTAGAGGACAGGTTGCGAAATTCAAACAATGACTTACTAGCTAGCATGAAATGGGACTAACTAGCTAACATGAAATAACTACATAGGCGAGAATAACAACATATTAAGTCAAAATACAATCTCAAAAAACTTTAAAAGATCTATGTTGCTGCAGGCGTCTATTCTTAAAGATGTCCAGGTCAACAAGAATGTCACACTGATAAATCAGAACACAACAGATTAAAACCAAATTGGCCACAACAAGTCATTTCACAGATCAATGCTCCTGAAATCAGGCAATATGTAAACAGATGTTGGTTGGTGTAGCTTATCAAGAAGCATTTCAGACATGATAAGAAGGTAAAGACTGTAAAAAGGGGCTTAAACAATTTGTATACTTCGTTAGCTGACCTTTGACCAACCGTGTCCTACGGAGCACACCATTATTCAACAATGAAGAGGTTTAAACAACTAAGGATAATCTCAACAGATGAGAGCACTGTCTTTGCTGTCCAGTACCTAACCCATTCCCAATTCCTGCTAATATACCCTGTATAACATCAGGTTCATTTCTGTGCCCCTCCCCCTCCCAATCCATTTCCCCCCATCCATTTCCCCATGCCTCTGGCAAAACTCCTGTGACATTCAATCTTTAACTGGACTGGACAGTCTGGAGTTTTGCTGGCAAAGGCTGAAGTCTCCCTTCATAATTTGTGTTGTGTGTTGACCAGAGGTGGAAAATCCTGAATTACAGCTACTCTCGTTACAGTCCTCGAGTACATTTTATATGTAATAGTTTCTTAAGCATAATTAAATCATGATGTTAGTTTTTTTGGAGCTCATTTCATCTTTTTTTTTTTTAATTTTTAAAAAGTTTATTTCATCTTTTTTTTTATTTTAATTTTTAAAAAGTTTATTTCATCTTTTTTTATTTTAATTTTTAAAAAGTTCATTTCATCTTTTTTTTATTTTAATTTGTAATAATCATTACAGAGTTAAACAAACCTCTGCTTTTCACAACTCAACATTCAATCAGGGTTAGCAGAATACTCGTGCTTTATGACCTTGTGGAGGTTTTGCTCATATTTGCGACTAAGTCTGCTCTGTTATACTTTGCTATTCCGAAATATGAGTGCTGTAACGTGCATGCGTTGCCAAGGACTCACTGTTCAGTCAGTGACAGCACACCTGTATGACTAACTAGGCTGATGCTGTCTAGGTCCAGAAACAATGACAATTTCAATTTCTATTTCTATTTTCTATTTCTCTGAAAAATAACTTGGTGGCACATCATCTACTGAGGAGTAAGTACCTTGTGTAGAAGACAATCCTCATCAGCATCCAATGTGGCACTGGTTAGCTCCATTAGCACATTAGTTCATCTGAAGGGTAGCCTCCATTTGTCTCTCAACAGGAAAACCTTTTTTTCCCCAAGTGTTTTCAAGTGTGTTGTACAACACCAGAGATGGCTAAATGCTAAAAACTGAAAGCTAAATTACTGTTGCTAAAATATTTCTGAAATCACAGGTAAAATCTTGGCATTTTACTCAATATCCCAAAAATGTGGGGTTTTTTTGGGGGGTTGTTCTGGCTACTGCACTTGCACAGATCTCCACAATCAAGGGTGGCTTTTCCTGCTTGCGGCTTAACCAGCAAGCTGATCGGCTCTTTTTACTGAAAGAGCAGGACTTTCCCTGTAAACAGACACCAAGTTCAGTTTTCATTTTCCAACCAGTGACCTGTCTCCTTTATAACACCCCTGTGTAAACCAACATTCAAGAAAGCTAAGATGTTAGCTAAGGTAACCGATAATACTTTCTTTAGCAGTTGCTCAATAAATAACTTATTTACTCTTACTTCTGTGATTTTCTTTATAATTACTGTAGCTGTGCACTGTACAGTCTTGTGCTGTACAGTAGCAGTTCTCTTATGTAGGGATTTCCACCTCAGGTATTGACTGTGTCGTTTATGTCTTTGTCCTGAATCCTGTCGAAGTACTGGGGCCTCAGCCATGCTTTTGTCAGGATTAACATTTTCCTGTTCTCCTGCTCTGTTTTCCCACCCCCTGTGTTATGTCTGTACCAGGAGCAGAGGGTCAGCCTCCAAAGAAGAAAGGTAAGGAAACTGAGTGACAGCAACCTGAACAACTACAAACACAAATACGTACATTTTAAAAATGCACACTAATATTACAAAGGAATAAACTGAAACCCTGAAAGTGTCCCAGTGAGTATTTGTCCTCTTGCATGGTACAGTACTGGTACAGTACAGCCTATAGGCAAAAGGCCATGTGTTAGAAAAAATAGATCACTCGGGCAAAAGCACACAGAAGCTATTCATGTACAAAAAAAAAAAAATGTTCCATCACTTGTAACTGATTGGAGACATTTAGAGAGCTTAAAAACAGAGTACAACATTTATTTTAGCCATGGGTCATCCACAAATGTACTGCAGTGTACTGAAAAGTACACAGTTAAAAGTGAGGGTTTTTCAAGGTAAAGAAAATGATTCTATTAGAACCATGAATACTCAAAGAACCCTTCGTATTATTAAAGAGACATTTGCATTGTGAAAGCGTTCTTGAGATTGATGGAGAATGTGCTGTAGATGGTTCCATGTAGAATCTTTTTGAAAAGGATTCTATATAGCACCAAAAAGGGTTCTTCTATTGTAACAAGCTAGAAGAACCCTTTTTGGTTTGACATAAAACCCTTTTCAAAAAGGTTCTATTAAAGAACCATCTACAGCACATTCTCCATCAATCCGAAGAACCCTTTGACAATGCACAGAACCCTTTAATCACTTCGAGTGTCCATGGTTCTATACAGAACCATTTTCTTTACTAAAGAACCCTTGAAGAACCATCATTTTATGTGTGTGCCACCACAATAAATTACACAGTACCTGCAATTACATCCGTACTATGCAGCAGTAACTGATTTTAGATTTAGATCTTAAATATTGGGGCACAAATGCATGTACCTTCAAATAGACTCCCCAACAACATATAAAAAGCTGCACAGTGATATGCAGTTAATATCCAGTATATATAAATAAATTAATATTCAGGTTGTTGTCATTTGGTTTTTTGTCATATAGTACATTTTCTTTTAATACATGTCACCCCAACCTCCCTAATCACAGATGACTAAATTATCAACCCCCCTCATTTCTCTTTGTTTATATCGATTAAAGTGTCCTGTTTCATCTTTAAAGACAACTCAAGCACTTTTTTATTAGGACCTAACATTTAAATGCCATAATTCCTGTAATTGGCCCTGTATCTTCTCCTTTTTACAGAAATATGTTTTTCAGACTGTATTAAAAAATTTAATTGCACAGAGCCTAAGACTTGTAAAGATGCCAAATATTTGTGCTCATGTTATGATTTACATAATATTGATGTGGCTGTGGTTTTTAAGTAGCCAGTAACTACTGACTGACACCGGCTGCAAGGTTACAGTATTGATGTGGCTGTTTTTAGGTATCAAAAGGAGATCAAAGGTCCCTGGAGTGATGATCACACAGTATATTGAGGAGCTGCCAGAGGGAAAAAGTACTCCTGACTTCACTCGCAAACCCATCGCTTTAACCATTCAAGAAGGTAGGAACTGTTGTGGGAAACATTTCTTCAAAGCACATTAAACTACTAATAAAAGACACATATTTCACAGGTGAACATAAGTGGAAAACAGCAGGTTTTAGTCTATTTACTGTATGTCAACTAAATTAGAACTGAAAATGAATCATTTTTACATTGAAATTGAAATATGAAAGAGTGCGAGGGAAATTTTAATTGTAGCCTATATTATCATCAATGCTGACTTTGGAAAAATTTAACTTGATAATATGGAGCTTGGGAACTGCTGTAGATGAGTTAGACCAAACAAAAGCAACCATGTGCTGTGTACATGACAACTTCAACTAACTGACAGCCAGAAGTGGAACACCACATTCAGCATTCGGGCCTCAAGTCAAAAAAGTGGATCTTTTGGTCTTCTGGTCAAAATAACAGGCCTGCAAATTTATTTATAGAAAATAATCACAATTTTAATCACAGTTATAATACTGGTCAGAAAAATCACAATTTGATATTTTTCCCAAAATGTCCACCCTTAGACTGTGCTGAATTTGGCAATGTGTGGTCAGAGATAAGGTTTCTGCAGGTCATGCGCAGACTGACTAAATTCACTTTGCAGTTGGATTTTTCAATTTTATAGCATGTTGTTCTCTTTCCAATCCAAAATTTGATGCTTAAGCACAGAAATATGTGCTGCAATTTATGATTATGCTTCCCTCTGACCCATGACCCATATTTATCTGAAAATTGACTGCATATGTCTTGACTTTCTCTGTATCCTGCAAATAGTGTGGCAAAAAATTGGGCTTTGACTTCATCATCACTGAACAGACAAAACCTCATATCTCCATTTTTGTTGTTTTTTCACATAATTTGTAAACATCAGCTGTAAGTCTTTTGTTTTAATTCCCTTTTATGTTTGCATTCTACTTTATCTACTTTCTTTTATATATATATATATATATATATAAGATTTTCATCTTTTATTTTTCACTCTTAAGCACTTTGTCTTTATTTTACCTTTTAATGTTCCTTTTCCTTTTTTATGTAAAGCACACTGAATTGCCTTTGTGTTATGAAACATGCTATATAAATAAACACATTTTGTCTTGCCTTTGCTTTGTGTAAAACTTTCATGACGAATAAACAGATAGGAATGGTCCAAAATTACTTGGAAAAATAAATCGTACGTTATTAGTTGAGAATGTTTTTCCTTCTCCTGAAAAGTTAACATTTTGGAGATATAAGGCTTTGTTCCAAAAAATATGAGATTTTATGTACAGATGGAAAAATGTCTTCAGTGTGTACATATTAAATTATGATGTAGAATTTATAATCCATACTGACTCTGATCTGATTCTTAGTTAATATTTACTTCTTCTGTTGACCTGTCATGGTTGAAATGTCTGTACATTACACAATACTTTGTCTATCTTTTCCCATTTAAGGAAAATTAGCCATCTTTAAAGCCATTGTGATTGGAGACCCCAAGCCCACTGTAACATGGAAAAGAGCCAAAGGAGAAATGAACGATCCACAAAAGTTCCAGAACAAATATGACCCTACAAGTAATGAACACACTTTAGAGGTTGGCAAATTAATTACTTACATTCACTATACTACATCTCGCTTTGGTAACATAAATAATTGTTTATGACAAATTGCTTTACTTTTTTTACTTTCACAGATACCTAAAGTAAGTGGTGATGAAGCTGACACATACAAATGCTACGCCATTAATGAGTATGGAAAGGCTGTTTGCACAGTCGTCCTCAATGTCATTGAAGGTATAATGCAAGATTTCAAGCCTTATAGAATTTCAGTATTGTAATCTGGCATTTCAATTGAATCACGGAGCATTTACACTGCTTTAAATGGCATCATACCACATCTATGATCTTTCTTCTTTTGCAGTTGGATTCAAAAAGAGCAAAGAAATGAAAAAGGCAGAAGAGTGTATGTTGGATATACCTTACTAATACGACCTTATATGACTACTATACATTTTTTTTATTGTATTATTTCAAGTTATTTCACTTGTCTAAACTTGCTATTATAAATCAATGTTTATTCTATCATTAACTTCATTTAAGTAACTTTATTCTACTATAATTTGCAGTATTTTCTTATATTTGTCTTCAGTTCCAGTAGGGGATCCAACAGAGTTCAGAAAGATGCTAAGGAAAAGGTACTACATTTGACAGCTTAACAAGTCAATCAGAGACAAAAAACAATATCCTTGAGCCAACTTTTGTGAAATATTAAGCATGACTCAGAATGAGAAATAACAATATTATAAATGAATGAGTAATATTTGCCAATGTTGCAATAAAGTTTATTTTGCCTGCTCCATCTGTAGTGCTGGAAAAAAGGATCAGGACAAAAAGGAAGGAGAAATCGATGAGGCAGTGTGGGACCTATTATTGTCAGCTGATAAGAAAGACTATGAACGTATTTGTGCTGAGTACGGCATCACTGATTTCCGTGGCATGCTGAAAAAACTGAGCGAGTTGAAGAGAGAGCGAGAGGAAGAGCAGGCACAGGTATACTACGGTCACTTACAGGAACAAAAAATAAAATAAAAGCTATATAGTTTGACTTACAGTAATATATCTCATTGTGTTAACAGAATTTACTTTGTACCTTATTAGTTCATTCAGTACCTTACTAACCTGAAACCCATTGAGGTGAAATCAGAAGATGCAGCTTCATTTGAACTGGACCTGGAACTTAAAGATCCCAGCAGTCGCATTTTCCTCTACAAGGTAAGAATTGATAATCACGCATCACGCAGAATACTGGTCTCAAATCACTATATGTAATATATTTCTAAGGCTGTTTCACAGCTCATTTACACAAGTCTAAACCAGAGTTTTTTTTTTTTTTTGACATATTGTATCTTCTTCATTTGGTTCGGTTGGTTTCACATTGCAATAGCTAAAGTGCACCAAATCACACATGTGGGTTGCAGGGATACAAACGCTCTGCTACTTTCACATCTGGCACAGTGAAAATGGGAAAAACACAGTCAAAGCAATAATAATAAGCCTTACTCGATGTCTGGTTCTTCATGATTAGTTTATCAATTACAATTTAGCTAATGAGGTCACTGATGCCAAATGTGCTCATCATATCTTTGCCATTTTTTTTGCTTGTCTGCCGTTATTAGCAGCAGCTCATGCTGCAGAAATTTTAAGAGTGTTTGTAAAGAGTAAAATGTTAAAACAAGCAGATTATGCTGATAATACAGTGCTGACAGGCTGCTAGAAGAAGGAGGCATGCTGCGATGTTGAATTCTCTCGTTTGGTGTGGACTGCTGTAAAAGTATGTGCTTCCAGCCGTGAACGGAACCAGGGTTCACTTAGAAGCGGACTGACATTTTTCCTAGATTAAAGTCCCGTTGTTTAACACACACCTGAGTATGGGTGGATTGTCCACACCAGTCAAAATGGACCACTGAAGAAAAGGTTTGACAGGTCTACAACAAGATAGATGTGTCCCTTAAGAAAGTGAATCTTGATCCCGTTAACATTGCTCTGTTCCATTTGTTTAGGATGGTGTTATGATTCCATACAGCAAAGATGGAGACACTGAGATGAAGCATTACCTGAAGCAAGTTGGCAAAAAGTATGTGTTCACAGTGAAAAATCTCAGTCCTGACGATGCTGGCATTTATCAAGTGGACATTGAAGGAGTCAATATCTTCTCAACAGATTTCAAGGGTAGGTTTTAAGTAATTAGAAAAATGGCTTGAAAAAAGCATTTCTCAGTAGTATATTAAGATGTTTGTGGGATTGTGCTCATTGATTTTCTCTATCCACTTCACTCAGTACCTCCTGTGGATTTTGTTGTGAAGATTCAGGAGGTGAAGGCCGAAGAAAGACAAGATGCGATCTTTGAGTGTGTGACTTCCCTTCCCATGAACCAGATTGTATGGTCATTAAAAAATTCCCCAGTTTCCAACAGTGATAAATATGAGATTACTGTTTCTGAGGATAAGCTGGTTCACCGACTGAAAATCATTGATTGTATGCCTGTGGATGCTGGGATCTACACTGCTTTGGCTGGCATCAAGTCTTGCAGTGCTTGGCTTGTGGTAGAAGGTAAGTTTAGTATACAACCCACAATAATTAAATTATTACAATAATATTATATAGTATAATCAGATTTGATTATTAGTTTTTTATATTTATTTTATTTCATTTATTTATTCTCACACCTACCTGTAAAATTGTGCTCTCTGCAGCTGACAAAGAAGGTGCAAAAGGCAAAAAGATAGCCCGCAAGACCACGCAGGCAGGAGGCAGTGGAGTTGACCTGGCCAAAATTGCTGCTGAACAGCAAGAGAAGAACAAGAAGGAGATGGCGGAGGCGCTGGAGGCTGCCAAGAAAGCCCAAGCCGAGAAGGAGGCGGCTGCTGCCAAAGCTAGAGCTGAAGCTGAAGCCGCCCTGGCGGCAGCACAGGCCGCTGCTGCAGCTCAGGCAGCGGCCGCTGCTAAAGCTGCTGAGACTGCGCTTGCTGCAGCTAAGGCTAAAGGCATGTCGGAGAAAGATGCAGCTGCAGCTGCGGCAGCTGCAGCTGCAGCTGCAGCAGCAGAAGCCCACGCCAAGGCTGAGGCGGAGGCTAGGAAGCTGGCTGAAGCCAAGGCCAGGGAAGCAGGCCTGAGCCCAGAAGAGACTGCTGCAGCTGGAGCAGCAGCTGTTGCTGCACTGGCCAAAAATGCAGCTGCAGTTGCAGCAGGACAGCTTGGTGCAGGTGCTGCAGGACTAGCAGGAGCTGCTGGTCTTGCAGGAGTAGCAGGAGCTGCTGGTCTTGCAGGACTAGCAGGAGCTGCTGGTCTTGCAGGAGTAGCAGGAGCTGTTGGTCTTGCTGGGGTAGCCGGAGCTGCTGGTCTTGCCGGGGTAGCCGGAGCTGCTGGTCTTGCTGGGGTAGCTGGAGCTGCTGGTCTTGCCGGTGTAGCAGGAGCTGCTGGTCTTGCCGGGGTAGCAGGGGCTGCTGGTCTTGCAGGAGTAGCAGGGGCTGCTGGTCTTGCAGGAGTAGCAGGGGCTGCTGGTCTTGCAGGAGGTGTAGGAGGTGCTGGTGTTGCAGGAGGAGTAGGAGGTGTTGGTATTGCAGGAGGAGCTTTAGGTGCTGGTCTTGCAGGAGGAGCTGGAGCTGCTGGTCTTGCAGGAGGTGCTGGTGGTGCAGGAGGGGCAGGAGGTGCTGGTGGTGCTGGAGGAGTAGGAGAAGCAGGAGCTGATGGCTTGTTGGGGGAAGGTGCCGATGCTGGGGGTGCAGCTGGAGCTAAAGCTAGGAGGCATGCAAAAGCAGGATCTTTGGTGCCAGATACTGTGAAAGGTAAGGGAACATACAGCCTGCATTCCAAACACAAATTCCCTAATCTGAGAGTTTGGATTTAAGGTCCAGAGTAGTGCTGCCATTTCTGTTAAGAAAAATAATTGACCTTATGTATGATAGAGAATTCATGCAGAAAGCTATAAGTTATGCTATGCTATAAGTAATGAATTAACATCTTTGCACAGAAACTTTCAATTGGTTAATTAGAATATAGGTCCAAAAATGGTCCAAAAAGGTTTGCCCAATTTTAACCAAACTATAATGTAAAAATTGCTGCAAAGTATATAGGCATAGATTCATGAAGTTCTTATATTAGTAACAGAATAACTTTTTTCCACTATTATTCATCAATAAATAGCTTTTTGTTGCTTGTTGTTATGTATGCAAGAAGTATTGTTTTTGTACTTTCTAAATAATGCACACAGAAAAATAACTAGAAAAAATTTACAAAGTATTCTAAATAGGACAATAGTCAGGCATACCTGATTTGCCATCAGTATAGCAGAACTAACTGGGCAGACAGGACAGTATAAGGGGCATGTTTGTGTGAGGCAAGGCCCAATGCTGCCAGACGCTGTAATTGGTGAGAGTTTGGATTAAACATTAGCTTAGACAAAATTAAATAGGATTTAACTGAAACCAACACAAATTCTTTAACCTAATATGTTAGCATTTTAACAGCATTGCCAACTACATACTTGAGTGGATGTCATAAAATTGAAATAAAAAATACTGTTTTTCAGGCATGTTTAATACTTGCTAAGTTGCTTATCAGACGGAGAATAAGAACAAACTGATTTACTATTTATACCAATACTTATGGTAGGAGAATCAAATCATGAAGTGGCCCGAGTTGAAAAAACTGGGCAAACAGAACAGACTGAGGGGCATGTTCGCATGAAGCAAGGTCCACTGGTACCAGACACTCTGATTGGTAAGAGTTTGATCTGAACAATAACTTAGACTTAAATAAATGTGAGTGAAATGAAGCCAACATTAATTCTCTAATGTAATATTGTAGCCTAATATAATGTAGTATATTAACATAATTGCCAACTAGATCCTTGAATCTTGAGTGATGTTACAAAATCGTTATTAAATTAAAGAGAAATGACATTTTCTGTTGTTCAAACATGCTTATTATTATTAACCACTCAAAATCACAGGCTTCTTTCATTCTAAGGCTTTAATTTTGGCAACTACATGAAGTACGATGCAAACTGGCTGAGTTACTGTTGGGTAATAAAAAAGAATGACGAAGGTTTGGACCCATCAGCAGGCCCGGCCATTTAAAGAGAGAAGTGTTAAACTGATAAAACAGATAATAAGGATGAACTTACAGTGGTAGAATCAAATCTATGTGAAGCTGCCCAAGTAGAACAAACTGGGCAGAGAGGACAGACTGAGGGGCATGTTTGCGTGAGGCAAGGCCCACTGGTGCCAGACCCTGTGACTGGTGAGATTTTGGACTAAACATTAACTTAGACAAAATTAAATAGGATTGAATTGAAACCAACATAATTTTTTAAACCAAATATTTTAGCATTTTAACAGTATTGCCAACTAGAGACTTTAGTGAATGTTATAAAACTGGAATTGAACAAAAAAAATCACTCTCTGTTTTTCAAGCATGTTTCTTAATTGCTAAGTTGCTTATCAGACAGATAAGAATGAACTGATTTACTATTTATACCAATACTTATGGTAGGAGAATCAAATCGTGAAGCGGCCCAAGTTGAAAAAACTGGGCAAACAGGACAGACTGAGGGCCATGCTCGTGTGAAGCAAGGCCCACTGGTACCAGACACTGTGACTGGTAAGAGTTTGGTCTGAACATTTACTTAAATAAATAAATGAGAGTGAAATGAAACCAACATTAATTCTCTAATGTAATATTGTAGTATATTAACATAATTACCAACTAGATCCTTGAGTGAACGTTACAAAGTTGTTATTAATTTAAAGAAAAATGTCATTTCTGTGCTTATTAACCACTCAAAATCACAGCCTTCTTATTTTCTAAGGATTAATTTTCCGTAACTACATGGAAAACAATGCAAACTGGTTATTCTTAGGTAATAAAAGTGTGTGACAAAAGTTTGAATGCATCAGCAGGCCTGGGCATTTAAAGAGTCAATTGTTAAGTTGATAAAACAGATATTAAGGAAAACCGATTTACTATTTTTCCCCAAACTTAGCAGAATCACATTTATGTGAAGCTGCCCAAGTAGAACAAACTGGGCAGATAGGACAGACTGAGGGGCGTGTTTGTGAGAGGCAAAGCCCACTGGTGCCAGACGCTGTGATTGGTGAGATGTTGGACTAAACATTAACTTAGACAAAATTAAATGGGATTGAACTGAAACCAACGTTAATTCTTTAACCTAATATTTTAACATTTTAACAGTATTGCCAACTAGAGACTTGAGTGAATGTTATAAATTGGAATTGAAGAAAAAAAAACCCTGTTTTTCAAGCCTGTTTATTAATTGCTAAGGTGCAAAGATCAGACAAAGAATAAGAACAAACTGATTCCCTATTTATGCCAATACTTATGGTAGGAGAATCAAATTGCGAAGCGGCCCGAGTTGAACAAACTGGGCAAACAGGACAGACTGAGCTGCATGTTCGTGTAAGGCAAGGTTGATTGCCTGATTGGTAAGATTTTGATCTGAACATTTACTTAAATAAATAAATGTGAGTGAAATGAAGCCAACATTAATTCTCTAATGTAATATTGTAGTATATTAACATAATTACCAACCAGATCCTTGAGTGAATGTCACAAAGTTATTAATTTTAAGAAAAAAAAAATTTCTGTTGTTCAAGCATACTTATTAACAACTCAAAATCAGGTTTCTTACATTCTAAGGCTTAATTTTCAGTAAATATACGGAGTACAATGCAAACTTAAACAAAAGTTATTCTTAGGTAATAAAAGGGTGCAACAAAAGTTCGTACCCATCAGCTGGCCTGGCCATTTCAAGAGTTAATCATTAAATTGATAAAACAGATAATAAGGACCAACTGATTTCCCATTTATACCAATATTTACAGTAGTAGAATCAAATCTATGTGAAGCTGCTTGAGTTGAACAAACTGGGCAAACAGGACAGAGTGAGGGGCATTCTCGCGTGAGGCAAGGCCCACTGGTGCCAGATGCTGTGATTGGTAAGAGTTTAGACCGAACATGAGCTGAAATGTAATCAAATAGGACAGAACTGACACCAATATGAATTCTTTAAGGTAAAATGCTTGAGTGAATGTTATAAAATTAGTATTATCTAAGTTAACTAAATTTAATAAGTTAAATTAAGCTGAGAATCAGATAAAAAAAAAAATCTAACAGAACTGATTAACCATTTATAGCATTAAGGCAGGAGAATCAAATCTATGTAAAGTCTGAATTGAAAAAGCTGGGTAAAAAGGACAGGGGCATTCTCGCATGAGGCAAAGACCACTGGTATCAAACATTGTGACTGGTAAGAATTTAGCTTGAACATTAACTTAATCAAGGAAGAGTGAACTGAAGCCAACAATTTGCTAATGTAATGTAATGTAATCTACGTAAAGTGGCCCAAGTTGAAAAAACTGGGCAAACAGGACAAACTGAAGGCATTCTCGCATCTAGCCTGAACATTAACTTAGACGTAATATTTTAGCACTCTAACAGTACTGCCAACTAGATCCTTGGATGAATATTTTAACGTAATTTCTGTTGTTCAAGCATGCTTATTAGTTGAGGTTTTCTTAACAAGTTGCGCTCATGAAACTTGTTTGAAAAAAAAACATTTAAACTGTGTTATAATGATTAATTCCTAACAGTAGCTGAGGTGATAATGCACATGTATTATCCATCTTAAAAAAAATAATACAACCACATAGTACAATACAGTGTCTATTTCACTTACTATTAACGCCATCCATCAGCTTCCTAATTTTTATCATGCGCAAAATGTATTTGTGTACCATTTATTGTGTGTCCTGCACCATTGTGTGTTATGTGTGTACATGTATGTGTCTCATATGTTTGTGTTTTTGTGTCTTATTGTCATTTATCTATACAGGAGATACATTTCTACTTAGTTATCTACGTTAAACATCTGTCATCTAATTTAACTAATTAATTTGTGTTAGAAATGCCTTAATTAGTTGTAAGAGTTGATGTATTAGTAGCAAATATCCAATTAAAATGCATGAACATTCTTGAGATACATGAGATACTGCTTTTGTGCTTCCTATTACAATTTTTATCTTCACAAGTAAATTAAGACAGTAAATTTACTGGCTATGAATTAGTATATCTTGTATCTCTGAAAGTGCAGTGTTTGTCTACAATCCTGTCATTGTTATTCTGTCACTTCTCTCTTTAATGTTATTTGTTTTTACTGTCCTTGATGTAAGTCAAATGCCCTTAATGATCTTCTCTGCGACGTCAATCTTCTAAATTTGTATCACCAATTGGTTAAAAAAAAAAATTAAAGGTGGAGGTAACCCACATGGGAACCCACATGGTAACCCCCATGGGAACCCACATGGTAATCCAGGAGGTACGCCAGGAGGCAACCCACATGGTAACCCAGGCAGTAACCCACACGGTAACCCAGGAGACAATCCACATGGCAAACCAGGAGGCAATCCACACGGCAACCCAGCAGGCAACCCACACAGCAACCCGGGAGGCAATCCACACGGTAACCCAGGAGGCAACCCACATGGTAACCCAGGAGGCAACCCACATGGCAACCCGGGAGGCAACCCACATGGCAAACTGGTAGGCAATCCACACGGTAACCCAGGAGGCAATCCACACGGTAACCCAGGAGGCAATCCACACGGTAACCCAGGAGGCAATCCACATGGTAACCCAGGAGGCAACCCACATGGCAACCCGGGAGGCAATCCACACAGCAACCCAGGAGGTAATCCACACGGCAACCCGGGAGGAAATCCACATGGCAAACCAGGAGGCAACCCACACGGTAACCCAGGAGACAATCCAGGAGATAATCCAGATGGTAATCCAGGAGGTAACCCAGGTGATAACTTGCAAGAGAAGCCTTCTGATGCCAAGCCCGAAGGCAGTGAGGGGGCTACCCCTGTGTCTGAGGGAACTGAGGGCACATTGGTTGAGTCAGCTGGAGCTGGCAAGCATTCAGGCCGCACAAGACAAGCCCCCGTACTTCCAGAGACAGTCATTGGTAAGACATGGTAGAGGTTGCGACAAACATGCATGGATGCAATATTTGACTAAGTCATTTGGCACAAGAATGGCTTTACCACTGCTTTGAGGGTTCTGGAATAACAATGTGAGCCAGTGTTGGGCTGTTACATTTGATCTGTTACATTACTGACCCTTCATTACATCATCCATAAAGCCTTGTTTAACCAACAGCACAGCCTTTACTAAACTAGCTTGTCCATGAATTTGTAGACTTGTATGTCATTTTTTTGAATGTTGAATCAGTATTTTTATTTTTAATAGAATTTATAGGACATATTAAAGTGAATCTAGTTGTTCCTCCAATTTTTCTTTTTTATTTAGACCACTGGGCATAACATCTGGCCAATTAAAAAAAATCAGCTCTTTCATTATTACTATAAGATGCAAGCCCCAACAACTGAAACATTCCTTTCAGAAACTGATCATTTTATAAAAATTAGATGGCCAAACTCTGATTATTTTGATAATAAGATTTCAGAATCTGATTTGTGACAAATGTTTGTTGTGGAAAAAATTGTGTTGATGTGCACAATGTTCGTGAGTTCAGTGTGTTTGTCTTGTCTTTACTACACTTGCCTCAAGTAATGAGCTAATCACTTAGTAGAAAAAAAAAATAAAAATGCAAAAATAACTTCCATTAAACAAGAACCTAAAGGAACTGGACAGGATGAAGGCACATCTAGGAGACTCCTGATTTCTGCGATAAGACTGAAGACTGCAAGCAAGAGCACTGAATCTTTCCTTTAGGAGACTGATGCACTCAGATGAAAACATTTTGTAAGAGAATTAAGGAGGAAAGCGCATCCTAAATAATCAGAAGAACCTCTGAAAACACATATCTTGCCATGAGGAATGAACTGGCCTGATGATCATACAGCGGGAAAAAAACAGACTGTCCATTAAAAAGTGATCCTGCAAGATGAGGGTCCAGAAACACAGAGATGACAGACATCTGTCAGTGAATGTTACAGTTTGCAAAATATTACAATTAGTTTAACAAATGGTTAACCACATATTTTACATTTAAACATGTATTTTAATCATTAAAATACATGGCATTTGTGACAAAATGTAAAATATCTAGCCTAACAGACCTTCTAGATCTCAGGTAAGTGCTATCACTCATAGTAGAAATGCATACCCTGGCCCAGTTGTTCCTAACCTGGTGCTCAGAACCCCAAACAGTCCACACATTGGAATGAAGAAAAAATAAAGACCATCTTGTGGGCTTTGAGGACCTGGTTTGGGAATCACTGACCTAGGCAAACCACACTAAAAGATCATTGTACCTTCAATTGAGATAAACTCTTTCTTCAGAGTACAAATAATTAAAATGAACCTAAATTAATTGCAGATCCTGGTGTACACTTTTCTGCTGGCCTGGAAGATTGCAAGGCTATTGTGGGAGAGGCAGCTGAGTTGGTCTGCAAACTTAGCAGTGCAGACTGTAAGGGGGTCTGGTACAGAGACGGAAAAGAGGTACAGTACGACTCTTCTTGACTTAATATCTAAAATCCCCCAAAGGTGTTTTGAGGAAAGCAAAAAAAAAAAACATCAATGAGAAAATTATGCCTTGCTTTGTCATATGAAAGTAATTGCTCTCAGAAAAGTTTCTGTAAAAAGTGTGAACTGTTTTTATACATATTTTTTCTCTTCTAGATCACAGGTTCCACTGAGGGTATGACCATCAGCAAAGATGGTGCTACTCATAAACTTAAAATCCACAAAGTGACAGAGGAATTTGCTGGAAAATACAAATTTGAAGCTGATGGGCGTAAAACCGAAGCTGTGATCGCTGTTGAAGGTTGGCATAGACCATTTTCCTGGTAATATGCATAAAAAATATGTTTGCTTTTTATAGTTTCACATTATTCTCTGTTCTCTAAAATGGTTTTGTTTCCTTAGATCCACCAAGATTTAATCCAAAGGAAATTGAGGCATTTGCCGCACCAACAGTGATCAAAAATAATCAAAGAGCTTCTTTCAAAATCTCATATATCGGCTGTGAGCCTACGAAAGTACAGTGGTACAAAGAAGGTGAAGAACTTACACCAGATGCAAACTGCAAGATTGTAACTGATGAAGGCCACAGCTGTCTACGTCTAAACAAACTACAACGCAAAGACTCAGGGGAAATTAAGGTCAAAATTAAGAATGAGTTTGGCACTGTTGAAGCCATTACTAATCTAGTTGTGCTGGGTAAGCATCTAAAAATTAAAAATTTACAGCTATAATTCTCCAGTTACCAATGTTCTTTTCCACACTCGATTTAATATTTAGATCTGATATCCAACAGATAAACCTACCCCACCCCTTGGACCTCTGGAAATAGTTGAAGCCTCTTCAAACTGCATTGAGATCAAATGGCGTCCACCAAAAGATGATGGTGGATGTCCAATTGCTCATTACATCCTTGAACGCAATCAAGTTGGACGCAATACTTGGAAGAAGCTTGGACTTATTCCCGGTGAGGCTCATTACAAAGACAGTGATGTGGATCACGGTAAAAGGTACTGCTACCGCATCAGAGCTGAGACCCCGGAGGGCATTAGCGATATGTATGAGACAGAAGATGTCCAAGCTGGCACTAGAGGTGAGATTCTTATTTACAGTACACTGTGGTACTTAAGGCACAGTCAATAAATCATAGATTCCCTGATTTTTTTCAATGCATCTTAGAACTATCAGAAATATAAGAAACTTTATGATATTTTTGTGCTTTTTCCAGCATATCCGGGCCCACCCTCTGCTCCTAAAGTGATTAGCGCTTTCAAGGACTGCATCACGCTGTCATGGGTCCCTCCCACCAGCACTGGGGGTACAAACCTTCTGGGCTACAACCTAGAGAAGCGCAAGAAGGGTAGCAACTTATGGGGACTTGTTAATCCACCAGAGGAACCTATCAGAAGTTAGTAGTTTTCTTTGCTGAGTTATTCTATTTAGATATTAACTAATATTAACGTTTTCAGACACTGCAATTCATTTTTAATAATTAATAGTATGTAATAAATCCTTGTCATTTACAGCCAAGAAATATGAGTGCAGAGATGTTGTTGAAGGCATGGAGTATGAATTCCGTGTGTCTGCTATCAACATATCTGGAGCTGGTGAACCAAGTACACCATCAGAGTTTGTGTTTGCCAGAGATCCAAAAAGTAAGCCAAGCTGTTTACTGCTCAGTAATGACAAAAGGATGAAAAGCTGTGTGTAGTGTAGTATTCATTTTATCTTTGCTCTAGAAAGCCATTCCATTTTTTTTGTTTGAGCACTGCACATTGCTCCATTCCCCTTACCCTGATTTTGTTGTAATAGAATGGTCATGTCAACATAAATTATATCATTACCATTCCCCCCACTAGAACCTCCTGGTAAAGTCATTGACCTGAAAGTGACAGATTCCACATACACCACTTTATCCCTTTCTTGGACTAAACCAAAAGAAGAAGAGGGAGTACAGGATGAAGCCAAGGGATATTTTGTTGAAATCAGACCTGCAGAAAGCACAGAATGGGATCGCTGCAATAATAATGCCATTATTATGACCTTCTACACTGTGAAGGGAATGAAGTCTATGGCAATGTACTGGGTGAGAGTGCTGGCTTTTAATGAAGGTGGGGACGGAGAACCTCAGGAGCTGAATAACTACGTTCTGGCTATGCCTCCCCCTGGTAAGCTAGTGGATGAACGTAATTTCTTTTAAGATTGTAGAGATACAGGATGATGATTTCTCCATCATTTATTATGTCAAACATAACTAATATATAACTATAACAAAAGTTTAATGCAATTACTGCACTTTTGTTAAAAATGTGCCTCTCTCTTCTCTCGTAGTGAGACCAAGATTTACAGATTCCAAGATGAAGAGCTTCATGGTAGTCAGAGCTGGAAATTCAACACGATTCAACGTTAACTTTGTGGTACGCACAGATTTGCTGTTTCATATAATGTCAGAACACGACTCAATTGTTCATTATTTACTTGATTAATGACAGTATTTAGATATAGATTTCTTCACAGTATATACATTACACTGTAAGAATGGTGATAGTTAAAGAAGTCTAGAAAAATGTGGTAAGGTTGCTTCTGTCTTGTTAAATTAAGGACATCTGGTTCCATTCAGAGATGTACTGTGAGGATAAACTATCACAGATTGAGTAAAAAAGACATTCTAAAGAAGTTAAGTCAATATTAGCAAATGTAATGTGAAATGTGGTCTACACTGTTCTTAATGACCACATGAAAAGAACGTTTTCTTATGCCATTTTCAGGCTTCTCCCTGGCCTGAGGTCATTTGGCTTAAGGACGGAGTTCCTGTCTCCAAACGTGTCACCATTAGCAATGCTGAAGGAGGCTCTCAAATCCTGATCCCATCTGCAGACCGATCTGACAGTGGAATCTACACCATCATAGTCAAGAATGTTGTGGGCCAGGAGACCTTTAGTACTGAGATCAGAGTCACAGGTAGACTCAGGGCTGAATTTCAGTGTTATATCATTAAGGCCATACCATTTAAACATCACCTCATCTTTATATTGTGTGAATATTTCATGACAAATGGTCCAACAGAAACACTCTTTATATTGATGATACTATTATACATCACTTTAGCATACAGTACTGTGCAAAAGTTTTAGGCACCTGAGAAATTTCCAAATTTCCAAACCTCTACTTGTGGAAGCCAGGTATTACCTGTAGGTATCATCCAATCATCCTGGTTTAGCTAATCAATCCGTTATTTAGTTAAATCGAGTGTGCGGGTGATGGAATTTAACAAATCCATGCAATGGCTGGGAGCTTTGAGGTAAAATCCAGAAGTAAACTAGCTCATGAGATCTCGAGTAAGAAAAATAAGTTACTTTTTAGTGTTTTTATGTCCATTTGCATTTATTCTAATGATATATGGCGATTGTAAAGCCAAGAACACAATTTTAGCCAAGATAAAAGGCTATAAATAATGTGCTTAGTTACTACTGCCTGTATATTACTGTAAAGAACCTTTACAACATGCTTCACACTGTATTTTTATATAGTAACTCCAATATGAACTAGCCAGAGTAGCTGCTGGTAATTTCACTTTGCCATACACTGTACAAATAAGTCTTTACATATAAGAACATGCTTTGTACGTCTGTTTCCATAGACGAGCCCAAGCCTCCAGGCCCTTTGGAATTGGATGAGAATGTACCACGCACTGTGACAGTTTCCTGGACGGCTTCACCGGATGAGAAACGAGACGACCGTCTCCACTACATGGTGATGAAGAGGGACTCCAGCAAGAGGACCTGGCACACGGTGGCCGACCACATCTTTAACAATAAGTTCACAGTCTGTAATATCATGCCAGGCAGAGAGTACCAGTTTCGTGTTTACGCCAAAAATGACATGGGACAGTCTGCCCCCTCAGAGTCGCCGAAGTGGCTCATACATGAGAAGAAAGGTTTGTAAAGTCTGTCTGTTACAGACATATTTGAATCCCTCCTAAATTGAATGAATGTCTATTCTCAATTGTAGCTAAGGCAGTAATAAGGCCCATTTCAGAGTATACTGAGTCTTTAATCTGCACCGGCAATGATTTACTACATTTGAGGAATACTGTTAAAGAGCCAGGTCCACAGATCTCCATTAAGCTTTCTTATACTACACTACTCCTTCCACTAGAGGGTGCATCTTATATGTCCCAATGTGGTAGCCTAACACTGCTCTGCTCCAGAGCCATTTAAGCTCAATAGTGAACTTTATCTGCCTGCCCCACCTGAGGTCAGACTCAAACTAGGCATTAAGATACACTATCATGCCTACTTGTAAATGAATTTGATTGTTTAATCTTTGCTTCACATATTGTTTAGTCAGTTGAGGACAATAACTAATGTCACCTAAGGGAGTTGTGTCTGTATGATGGCTCAGTGTTTCAGTCCTACATTTATTTCTTGCAGAGAAATTCACGCTGGTCTTACCTGAATCTAAAACCTGCAACCTCGAGAGGCCTCCTAAGTTCCTGGTCCCCTTGAAGCTACACACAGCTCCTGACGGCTATGAGTGCTACATGAGCTGTGCTGTAAGGGGCGAACCCACACCCCACGTCACCTGGTACCGCAACAACGTCAGCCTCAACACCAACACCAACTACCACATCACCAACACATGTGGTGTCTGTTCCATGCTCATCCTGAGGGTGGGGCCCAAGGACACGGGAGAGTACAAAGTCGTAGCTGAGAATCAATTAGGAAGAGCAGAGTGCTCCACCAAACTCACGGTCAGAGGTGAGACGTTCAAGCCTCTTTTTTTCTCTACACAAGAGACAGAATCACACAGCTTTTATACATACACATATACATACCGTTGTATGCAAACGTGTGAGCAGATAAATTAATGTTATGTTGATTTTCTAAAGGAAAACAACTACACTATCCCTTACAATGAACATACTTCGGCACAATGTAATGCACGTTTACTGTTTAGAAAAAATAGAAAAGAAAATGTGCTCTAAAATTTGCTAAACACCATTTTTATTTTTTTCTATAGAACATTAAAAAATATGTCATTTGACTGGGAGTATTCAAACTTTTGCATATGATTGTGCGTATATATGTGTACATAAATAAAAACCATGGCACACAGAACAACTGCTGAAAATAAAAAAGGAAAAATGAGGAGGAAAGCCTTTGAAACAGTTTTAGTTATGTCTGCTTATTTGGTTATTCTACCAGGTACAGGATGTTTTACGGACGTTTTTAATTATATGTAAAGTAGCACTAAAACACCTTAACTGCATCTTTTACAACTTGAACTTAAAAAAGGTGGCAATATGTTTAATTTCATGTTCTCACTTGTGCTGGTGCAAATTTATGCCAAGAATCATATCAATTTATTCATTTTAATGCATTTGTAAATCTAATTAAAGTAATAATGCTGTAACCATACAGTTTTTTTAAATTAATTAATTTTTCATTTATTTGTTTCAGAATAAAAGCCATGCCTGGACAAAGACAAGATGGATTACCTCTAACAACTCATTCATTCAGCTGATTTCAAGTTCTCTGTAGAAGTAACCTTTTGTGTACATTTTATAAACAAAGATTTCATCATGTTATATGATATTTAACATTTGTTGTGTTACAAATATCATATTTCACAGTATATTATGGGGATTGTTTAATTAGAGAACATCAATATAACACAGACATTTCATCTATACGACATTTGCTTTTTGTTTTTCCTTTGATTCTCCTAAATTTCTCTTTTTATTATTAATCCTTTTTCTGAAGAATTTGTTTTATTGGGCAGTGTGTTTGTCTCTTGATGATTTGCATCGCAAAGGACTTACTTAATTACATCAATCAAAAGTTACACAAAAAAAGATTTTTTTGATCTCCTAACTAGCTGTTTTTGCCTTTTCCTTCGATTTTAAATAATTATGCACTAATTCATTAATGCTTGCTTATACAGAAAAGAAGAAGAATAATAAAAATAAAGAAAGCAACATGGAGAGGATTTGACTTGGAATAGCAGATATTCCTGTGTTATATCATGATAAGAAAACTGGTGTAAATAAAGTGCTGGACTTGATGAAATGGCTGAGTTATTCATTTTATAATGAGGTAGTGATGCAACTGCATGAACAAGCATAGGACAGATTTACCATCTTGCTGTTCTCTGCCAGCACCAGAACCAGAAACGAGTATTGTGACTATTATAATATAAGGTCTGTATTAGATGAATACATGTTTAATGAAATGAAAAAAGAGAAAGAAACCAACAAAAATATCATCTGTGTTTCAAATATCATTCTGTCCTTCAGGCCCCAAACACTAAAACATTCCGTCCTCGTTATTTTTGGTCAGATTCTCTCACTATCACTACCTTGGAGTCAAATAGCACAACTCAATGATCAGTCTGTGTAACGTCAGCTAAGTATGCGCTCTGGCATTAAACAGACTTCAGTGTCACTAAAGCAGTATGAGTTACACTGTCCTCTCTCTGCTTCCTCTGCTCCATATATGGATGATGATGATGCCCATAGACATCTAAGTGAAAAACTCATCTGCACCAAAGGCAGCCCCCTGGTCAGTTTTGGTGGTGGCTTTTTTTTTTTTGGGGTTTAATGTATAGAAAGACTGCACTCAAGAAATCAGCAGGTAGCAACACATTCTAGTTAAGTCCATCAACAAAGAAATGACAAATTGAACAGGTCTCCTTTAAGGCAGCAAATTAGAACAGATCAGTCAGAACATAATTAATGACTTTTCCATTCTGTACTTTCAAATGATCAAAAAGAACCTACTTTCTCAAAGCCTTTATGAGGAAACCAATCTGTCATGCACAATAACAAGTTTTAAAAAATGATGCCACCCCTCCCCCTTCGCTTTCTATTATTGATTCTAATTACTTTCATTTTTCTAACACGTTCAGGTAGGCATTTCTTTGCAGCCTCTAAAGCCGCACACACTTACCTCTTCACCACTCCACCAGCAGTTTTCCTAAGCAGGGGCTCTAGCCAGCTCCTGGTCCTCTGTGCACTGCTGAAGGTTCTGCTTGTGGAAAGCCAGTGGTGGGATTTGGAGGGCTTATAGCTTATAGCCCCTCTCTGTAGAATTCTACAGCCTAAACCGCAGTCTTGAGGGAGGAGTCTCAGGTCCCCTTCACACTTTTGACTTTGACCCGCACTTGGAAGTAAGCCCATCTCTTTCTGACCCTCACCGCAAGAGGATCCTCACCGCATGAGGGAGGTCAGCAGAGAGCATCTCAAGCAGGCCTCATTTTCCTGAAAAGGAGTCGACACTGTAACATCAGAGGGAGCTTGGCAGCACGCAGCCGGAAAAAAGGGCACTGTGCACACTACACAAAGTAAGTTCTCATCACCTATTTGGTAGAAAATACCATGATAATGGATAGAAGCAATGAACTCAATTAACCTCTTTACTGGCGGAAGACTTAATTGCAAAGATTTATTGAAAACTGGTCACAGAAGTGGGTTAGAAGCTGCTCTGTAAATGACCACACAGGCTTCTTACACATTAGAATTTAGCTTGACTTAACTGCATCCTCAATCTACATTCAATTCCCTCTTACCTCTCATCCTTTCATCAGCATCCGTTCACTGATCAGAAAGTTTTAAGTGCCAATAAATTTCTCCTGGAGTACAAATAAATAATTTATTAATTGAGATGCTGCTAAGTCTTATGGTGCAAACACATAGATCAATTTTTGGAGATACTCAATGTGCGGCTCTTTTACAGCAGAAATGGAATGTAAGTGATGCAGGATATTGGGATGACATATAAACTTTGCTTTTATTGGACTGTGTGTGCAGTGACTGCTGCTCGCTATATTACATTACACTACAAAACCATCAACTCAGAGAAGGCATCTTTATTTTGGCAGCGAGCACAGCTACCAATATTCATATTTTATTGGCCTACTGTGTTTTAGTCATGTGTTCTTCTAATACTTCAGATATCTACATCAAAAAGATACTACTAATTAAGGGGGGAAAATGAAATATCAAATATGTTTATAATAGGAAAACTTCTTAATTCATAGGATTGTTTTCGCTACAAAATGCCAGAAAACACCAAGCATATTTAAAAGTGGATATTTAAAAGCAGATCCTGTCATTAGCCTCAAATAGTACACAACAATACACTGTCCATTAGCCATGACGAAATGTTGACTCATATTAAAAATTCATAGCCAAGCAAAGCACGTTACGGTTTAAGTCCAAATGTGTAAGCTTACACCCTGTAAAACAGCAGGGAACCTAAACAGGGTGGGCTATGCATGGCTGAGAAAAATCCTGAAGTCGTAAAATCTGAGGAGCCCTGGTGCCACTGGTCAGCGAGACCTCTGTACCTTAGGATGGTCCTCACGCATCTTCAGCTTATTTATAAATCAATCACCCATCTCCGTTGCTAGGCATGGCTATTTTTTATCTTGTACAAATATGGAGATCCCAAACAAGAACAGAAACAGAGTACTTTACAAAGATTTACAGCCAGTTCAATGTGCAGCACTACTTCAGCATTCTTCCCTCATCTTATTTTTAAATAGTGTCCTTTAGAAAAATGCAGATGAGCATTAGATGTTACAACACGCATAATACTGATTGAACTCCATCTGTTCAGTAATTAAAATATCAAATTCTCATTTAGTAAAAAACACTTTTATTAATTATTTCTTATTCTTAATTATTCTTCTTCTACTGTGAAGCTTGAACCTTCAATGTGACATTATCTTGGGTGTTAATTCAAGACTGACTATTGATCTTCTTGTGCGGTATGGCCTTATCCTCTCCCTTAATTAAAGCCCAAACTTGGCTACACTTAACTACAACTTGAACCTTAATCCTGATCCTGACCCTATTAGAGAATGCAGGACTTTCTATTAGCCCCTAAAATAATGAAGTGTAATTCTTCTGTGGAGAGGGCAAGTTGCTGGTTTCAAGCACCAGAGGAGAACTTATGTCAGATCTGTCTGACTGACCGTTTTTATGAGGTATGTGACCTATGCCAAGCAAGAGCAGAGAGGGCCATTTGACTCAGCCCGCTGAGCGCATGTGGGGTGCTCTGCGATCACAGGAATTCCTCCATTTAGTGGGGTTTTAAATTACCACCAGCAAAACGGATCCAAATCTCACTGTACCATGTGAGCCATGGTGCTCAAAAAGAGACACTCTTCTCAGTGTACAGATCACGTGCTTGCCATAACTCCTAAGCCTGTATCATTTCACACTAGCTCCAGTTTCAAAAGTCCTACCAAAAACACTTTCACACCTAAATTGTTTCACAAGATATTAAACCAAGCATTCTTACATGGTAACAAGTCAACACTTCATCTGATGATTGGAGGAAATAAGAATTAGGCCTCTTGGCACGCAAGCCATGTCACCACGTGGCCAGAACTGGAGCCAAGAAAAACAGCATGCGCACAGGCAGCACACTGCATGTTTCCCATTCACCTCTTCTTATTGCCAATTATGTAAGTGCAGTGTTCCATCTTTAAGGCCTGATCTCTCACCCTTTTCTCTCTCACTTATGTATGATTGCATGTAATAAAGACTTCAGCAAGTGCAGGGTTTACTCAAAATGTGTCAGCATCACATTCCTGCTGTAGACATATTGCCTAAATCCTGAGGTTGCAGCGAGGTGTAAATGACACCTCTGCCAACTTGATCCGCACTGCCGCATGAGTTATGCCCTAGCCAACTGGAGTTTCTTCACTGTTGCTAGGAAAATCTGACAGGAGTCTTACCCAGTTGCCACACACCAAACTCACTGCCTCAGGGAACAAAACTTAACACAGTATGATGCCCGTGCCCTAGAATAGATGTTCTAAATGAACCAGATATTACAAAACTTGTCCCTTTTTCTCTCTAGGCACCGGTCTGAAGAGACAATCTTGGACAAAGTAACTTTCTAGCTGACGTGAGGTCTGTAGATACAGGGCAGATATATTCTAGGAAAACTTCTTATGAAAGCTGACATATTTATGAAACAGAGCGCAAAGTGTACACCAAGTTTAAAAGACACCAAATGGATTTTGCTGCCGTGTATACAGCGCTGTGCAGATGTCAGAGACTGGCCTTAACTTATTTAATTTACAGCCAAAACAGACAGCAAATACAAGTAATAAATTTTTAGCATTTTTAGGCCTGGCTGTTTTGACTGGGCATGAAATAACTGAAGGGTGATCTCAGACTTTTGCACAGTACTACGGCGCCTAAAACAGGAAAACAATTTAATCTACCATACTACAATTTTTATAACAAAGAATTTACCAAACAGGGTTCGAGTCCTCGGCATCACTGGTGATAAGATGAAGTTTCGAAAGTCAAAGGATGAGGAGCCCACAGCTCCTGGACAAGGTAGGTTCCACTCATTTTCTCTGAATCTATTTTACATATTACCAGACTTCAGAGGTGAGGGAGCCCCATTTTTCCATGAGCATCTGTGATTAAATCTAACAGTCTTTCTGTTTCTGTCTTACTGACGTAGGTGAATTAATTAGTTTGCTACTAACTACATACAAATAAGATCTGATTCTTATCTGTTTGCCGCATTAAAGCCTTTAAATTGAAAAACGAACTCTGTTCCTCATTCACCAATATCTTTCTAAGTTTTTTCTTAAATTTGTTCTTGAGGAAGGTCCTAAGAATAAGTCTACATCAGATTCATGACGTTGGAGCAACTGCCTCCTGTTTTTAAGAGACAGCTGGTAGAGACAATCCAATTTATCCACAAAACTTGTGAAATGGTTCATCTCTGTGCACTTTACTGTCAAATTTTAAATTAACATCAGATTTAGGAAACATTCTTCTTAAACTACTGAAACCCCAGCCTTCCTACCTAACATGACTAACTAATTTAACTCTGAATTGAAGGTAATGAACGGTCAGTTGGCAAAACAGTAGGTTAAACATCATAGTTATGTAAGGCTATCAAATTTTGTAAAAACCGATTTGCATGGAAAAGGCCTACTGAACAAATGTTTGATTTAGCTTCCTCACACATCACCTATGCAACAAACTGCTTTGGAATTGCTGGATTTACCAGGTTAAATTATGGCACATAATCTAGGCTACATAAAGTTTCACTCATAATTCATAAGTTTATTTAGCTGAGTGTTTACTTCAGGTATTTTAGTTTAAGTTAAAACATTATGAAACAGCAGGAAGGACTCATTCTTACATGATTGTGAAAATCAGTAGAGAGATGAGAAGAGCGAGTGCTACCCAACATGCCACCACATGCAGCGAAAAAAACAACAACATGAACTTTGGGGAGGCATCCATCAAAAAACTGTTTAAGGATTTTTCTGTCAGCATGGTTTATTACATTGCAAGGATTTTGCACAAACTGTACTGGAAACTATTTACATTTCCATCTAATGACCATACCAGAGCTCAGCTTCACGAACCAAAGATGCATGCTGCTCCGATGCGCTCCAGCCCAGTTTCACTCCTGCATATCAGTGTCATCAAAGGATGTTCTTATTTTCTTTTTTAGTGGCCATCAGAAAGAGATCCAAAGTTCCTGGTGTAATGATCACTCAGTTTGTGGAAGAACTTCCTGCAGGAAAGAGCCACCCAGACTTCACACGAAAACCCATCGCCTTGACCATTCAGGAAGGTAGAACTTCCAAGCAACTCCTCAGATTTACTGTCAATAGGTCTAAAGCCTACAATCATACAATAAACTGACACTGCCAATCCTTCTTTCAAAAGGGCAAGTTAGCTTTTTTCAAAGCCATCATTACTGGAGATCCAAAACCAACTGTAAAATGGACTCGAAACAATGGTGAAATTTCTGATACAAGAAGTTACTGCATTACATATGACCCAATCATGGGAGAACATCAGTTACAGGTACCACACTTTTATGGTTAATACTAATACCATAGTCATAGTTTTCTTAAAAGAGAGTACATTTTGTAGTTGCCACAATAAAACTGTCTTTATTCTTACTTAAAGAGTAAAAAAATGTAATTATGTTTTCACTAGATGCCAAATGTAGCTGTAGAGCAGGCAGACACCTACAAGTGTATTGCTGAAAATGAGTATGGACGTGCTGTTGTCACTGCCACACTGAATGTGATTGAGGGTGAGTAGATTTCTTTCTGGTTCCATACTGCTTGGAGAAAATGATTCTTTTCTAATTTTTCAGATGTATGATGACATATGCTTGACCTTGTCTATTAGCAGATGGATATGAACAAGTGAAATCTAAATCAGGACTGCTTGAGGTTCTTACTTTCATTCAGCAGCTTCAAAGCTGTGTTAGTGGAATGTTTGTGGAAAACCATGACAAAAACATAAGAAAACATTTTTTAATGCAAGTTTTGTTTTATTACAGTTGGGTTCAAGAAGAGCAAGGCATTGCAAGAAGCACGAGAAGGTTTGTCTGCATAATGTCATGAACTTTACCATGTTGAACCTAAAAGTAAAAGAAACAAAGACAAATTGATGCAAAGCACTATATCCTTTTTCTTCTATAGAACTAAAGCTATTTAAATACTAATGGCTTGTCTTGGTGAAGAACTGTCTGCCTGCTAAACATGAGTGTGTGAGTGAATAAAGTGAGTTACAAGCCAGGTTCACGAGGTGCTTTGCATTCAAAAGGCATCCTGACTCACTACTACTACTTTTTTTTTCTAGCTCAACGCGAACAATCAATAGATTTCACAAAATCTCTGAAAACTCGGTAAGATATTAAGACTCTAACATGACATGATCACTCAACATGAGTTACTTCCATTTGCTCAACATGAGGTTAATCTGATGGAAATACAGACTAGATTTCGAAAAAGTGCAGTCAGATTTGCTTTGTCTTTGTTGTCACAGAACTGATCGTCCAAGAGCGGAGAGAAAAGATGGAGAAGTTGATGAAAGGTTCTGGGAACTGTTGCTGAGTGCTGATAAGAAAGACTATGAGCGCATTTGCGCTGAATATGGAGTCACTGACTTTCGCTGGATGCTGAAGAAACTGAATGAGAAGAAAAGAGAAATAGAAGAGCAGCAGGCACAGGTGAAATGTCATCTCTGTGGAAAGTTTGCTGTTGAGAGGATGGAAGTCTACTCTACTTCCTAACTGACAAAAATGAATTTAACACCTCTGCTAGGTCCTAAAATAGATCTGTGCTAACGAATATACTCAATCTTCTTCACTGTTCCATTTTCTTTCACAGTACGTTGAATATCTGGGCAACCTGAGACACATTGAGATAAAAAATACTGGATGTGCACAATTTGAATTTGAGATGGACCTCAAGGACCCCAATGCCAAAATCTTCCTCTATAAAGTGAGATACTATTTTAAGAACGTCAATTAACTTCTCTGAAGTTTTAGCGTCGCATGTAAATCTGTAAAGAGGAATCAACGTCATCATTCAGTATTTTTCAAATATTCTGCATTTCTGGTGCTACAGGACGGCGAGATGGTTGCATTCAGCCTCGAGTCAGATGAGAAGCACAGTTTGCGTCAAACAGGCAGAAAGTTCGTCTTTACTGTAAATGGCCTGTCTTCAGATGATGCTGGACTCTACCAAGTAGATGTGGAAGGAGTCAACGTCTTCTCTACTGATTTTAAAAGTAAGACTTATTGGGATTTACAGTTCCAATAAAGATAGTGATAAAGACTAGGCATGGGTATTAATATTTAATACTTTTATTGTCCTGACCAAATTACTTACTACTGAGTTTTAAACAAGTTACCAAGTTACAAGTTACCAAACAAGTAATACCAAATTTTACTACTTAGCATCAGTAAGCCAATAAGCATGCCTATTCCAAAAGACTAGACTGGTGATTGGCTGTTTAAATTACATGCCATAAGCATATCATTCATGCCAGTGCTTCTTCCATTGTGAGCTGCTAACTCAAAAGTTGTACAAAAAGAAAACATGTTATTAGGCCTGTGTCAGTAACAGAGTCCTCTTATTTGGGCAACTGTGGTAAATAACCACAGGAAACAGTTAAACCAGGTTGGGGTTTCTGGGGGGTTGCTTTACTTTACTTTATTATTGTTTTGTCCTGTAATTTTCTGATAGTCCCTTACACTGAAACGAGCACAGAAGAAAACACAATAATACTAAATGAGTTGATTCTTGTCATCTTTAATTTGGCCACGAAATGGTAATTAATCTAGTAAGAAAGAATGGAATTGCAAATGTCACATGAACTATACTGAGAGTTTGTGGCTACTTAGCTTAGCCCTTTGACTTCTTCTCTGAAGCCATTTTACCCAAGGCAGTTTAAAATGAGCTGTTTTGTCTGATGTATGAAACTTCATCGAGTTTATCGGTTTGAAACCTGTAGTGTGAAGATGTCTTAAAATGTACACCACAAAACAGAGGCTTTTTTGTACAGGCATGATACGTATCTGCCTGCAGCGTTAGAAAGTTCAGTTATGTTTATGAGAGGAAGTACTGCTGTTTTGCTGTGGTTTGCACAAAATAAATCATTTTTTTTTGGCAGTAAATGACTTTCACTGGGGGCTATTACTGCAGTAATAAAACTGAATTTATTTCATTTTGAGTGACATTACATATGATGATTTTGTTAAAATTGAAAGAAGTAGCAATACTGTGTTAGGAGAAAAAAAAACACTAAAATATGGTGTAAAGCCCTGTAAAGCCTCAAATATTCATGTGAAAGTCAGAGGGGTCAGGTTGGTGTTTTTACGACCACGTCATACGTTTTCACGTGTTGACATCATACACACAGTCTAAAAAATACCATCCAGCTCAATGTTAAGGTCTCAAATGCAAAATCAACATTATACTGATAAGCATCCAATGACAACAGTAGATAATTCAATAACATCCTTGGAAGACACGTCCTGCACATTGCATGCGATTACACATTTAAATCAGAGTCTTTGAATCCCCAAAACTTACATAATGCAGCTGTAACTTAAACATAATATTGACTTTAAAGCAAGATATAACTTTCAATATTTTCTGTATTTAAGAGAAGGTCTCAAGAATCAGTATCAGTATTTACAATATATGAATGATACTCAGCCCTAGTAAACACTAATGTTTAATTTTACCTCTCTTACTATTTTTAACCTATTTTATGTTACAGTTCCAGTGGTGGACTTCTTGGTGAAGATTGAAGAAGTAAAGGCAGTTGAAAGAGAGGATGCGGTGTTCGAGTGTGTTCTTTCTGCTCCACTCTCAAAGATCACTTGGATGGGAAAGAGTGTTCCCTTGGCGCAAGGCGAAAAGTATGACATTACAGTTTCCGAGGACATGTTGATCCACAGACTAGTGGTGAAGGACTGCATGAAAGTGGATAATGGCATATATGCTGCTGTGGCTGGTATCAAGTCCTGCAATGCCTGGCTGATAGTAGAAGGTAAGATTAGATCTATCCATTTGGTGGCCACTCATCAACCACCTAATCTGTTTAGTGAGTGAACAAAAAAAATCACAATTTGCTGAACTGAAAGATATAAGTCTTCACCAGTGCAGCAAAGTGAGTGCAGTATAAATTTGAGGGGTGTGGTATAGCCATGCAGGCAGTTTTCCATTCACTGTCTAGCATATTAACACGTCTGTCTTTGTCTGCCCTTGGAACAGCTGACAACGACCCAAAGAACCGTGGAAAGAAAGCAGCACGCAAAACAACCCAGGCAGGAGGGAGTGGCGCCGACGTGGCGAAGATTGCTGCCGAGCAACAAGCCAAGCTGCAGAAGGCAAGAGAGGAGAAGATGGAGGCGCTCAAACAGAAACAAGCTGAAGAGCCTGAAGAGGCTCCAGCCACTGAGGCCGAGCCTCTAGCTGAGCCCAAGCCTCTAGCTGAGCCCAAGCCTACACCCAAAGCCAAACCTAAGCCTAAACCCAAGCCTGTAGCTGAAGGTGTGGTAGAAGAGCCAGAGACAGAACCAGAGGTGGAGGAAATAGCTCCAGAACCAGAAAATAATGATGGATCTGAACAAACTGTTCTAGAGCCACCCAATGAGGAAGGTGGCGAGAGGAAGAAGAGAGTGAGGACAGGGCCCTTGGTCCCTGACACTATAATCGGTAGGTCATTAACAGTGCAGTGTCATGTGCAGAGCCAGCCAGTATTCAGTCAGAGTCAGCATTTTCAGTGACTTTTATCACAAGGTAGCAAAAACTATACGACAAAGTGAATAAGTAGTCATGTCATACTGAGTTGCATACGCACCAAAAATAGTGAAGTCAAAGGGTAAACATTTACTAACAGCCTGCGCTGTCGCAAATACTATTCTGGCATCAAAAAGTGACTGTCACGATTTACTAAACAGGCGCAATGACCCATAAGTACCAATTATAAGATCAAAGGGGCGGTCACTGCTGCTCTTTTGCACTTTTGTTTCAATGCATATGCATTTGTAGGAGTTTCCTTCTCAGAATCCAAAATACTCAGAAGAGATTATTATAAAAAAGCATGTACTCTGATGTCCAAAAACTGATAGTCAATACTGATTGTGTGCTGTTTAAAGCCTGTGACAAGGTAGTTGTATTTTTGGCACTAACATAACTATCACCTGTCATTTGTACTCCGAGAGAAAAGAGATTTTTTCAAACACATTTTTTCTTTTAAAAACAAAAAAAAATGTTTCTGCTGTTTTTACCTACTTTTTTGTACTTGAAGTACATTTTACACACTTTTTTTTAAATGTGTCAACTGCTGAAACTCTTCTGGCTGTGTAACCTAAACATACTGGTTACTCTGTTACTTTGTGCACACTGTGTACACACTGTGTGTGTGTCTGTGCGTGCCTTTGCAGAAATGTCACAGCCTTTTATTGCACTGTAGCTAAGAGCTTACACTGACCACAAGTTTCAAATCACACAGCTCCCCAAAAAATACAGAATGTGCTCAGTGAAATTAAACATGAATTTTACAATATCACATGGCTTCCAAAGTCACTTGGCACAGAACTAAAGTTCAGCTCCTCCCACCAGCTAAAAATGAACAGAAAGTCAAAGTGACTTATTTTCTTGAATTTCTGACTTCCGAATCAAAAAGGCTTACTTACTTAAACTATAACTTATGTCTAAATAATCACATACTTTTTTTTCTCCTACTTGGTGGAAATGGGATTGCAAAAAGCATGCAAGCACAATAGGGGGTTAGACACTTCTGTAACCTAAGAATAGCTCAACCGGTTTGCACTGAAGTCCCTGTAGTTACTGAATAATAAGCCTCAGTGTGTAATAAACCTGAGATTTAAAGGAGTTAATCCATGGATTTTGCATAGGTTTGGTATCCTCACAGTATATGTACAGCAAAAATGCATGAAGCATATGAAATAGAGCAACTATGGGCAATTAAGATGCATGTATCTTATGCACTACAGTGTTCATGCTTACTGTAATTCACATATTGAGAAAACAAGTAGATCAACCTTTCAGATAATGGGTGTCCATCACTCATCCAGACCCAGGAGTTCACTTCACTAGTGGGTTACAAGATGTCAGAGCCATTATGGGTCAGTCAGCTGAGATGGTGTGCAAGCTAAGTAGCGCGGACTGTGATGGAGTGTGGTATAAGGACGGAAAAGAGGTGAGTGCTCTCTTAAGAGATGAGGCCATACACCAACTGCAACCATGCTCACAATTTCTCTAAATACCTTCTGCTTTTCTATAACAATAGATTGGTTCATTTATTACTGTAGAGGAATAACGCCTCCACTATGTCTGGGTAATTTATACAGAAAACAGATGCAGTAGGTGTGAAATCTTGACAAAAATCCTGTGTGTCTGCACAGATAACATCCACGGATGATCTGAAGATTACCAAAGATGGGGCTATCCACAAACTGATGATATGTAACTGTAAAGAAGAGGACAATGGAAAGTATCGCTTTGAGGCAGATGGACGTAAATCAGAAGCCATGCTTATTGTGGAAGGTAATTTAACTCTTTGAAGATGATTTAAGGTAACGTAAAGCCATACTCAAGCTGCATTCATTTAACCTAGGGAAGTACTATAATGTAAACAGTTACCAATAAGATCAGTGATTTTAATACAGTACAAATCTGCAATGTCTGTAATTTTTACACATCTGGTAATATTAATTATAGACTTAATCACCTTCTGTATTTCACCAAACCTGTGGCTGCCTCAGTAATAGCAGGCCTTTTTGAATTGACTTTACAGCAATGTAATACAAAAACCTTATAATTCCTTTTGGCTGAAATAGAGCACAAGACGACATGTTTCCTCAATACGAGTCTATTATAAGTTATATAATATTTGGTGATGGTCTAAAAAAAGGAGATTAAATACCTTGAAAGTACCTCAGCGGTGTAATTTGTCATTTGGTGGCTTTTGTTAAGCTAAATGAGTCCACTTTTCTAGGCCAACGGCATTCTAGCTTGTATTTGCCAGAGGTTAAGCTTCATTCAATCTAGGCCATTTGTGGTCATTTTACTCACATCCTTTAATCAGCCAGTCAGATCCCTTACAAGTTAATCTCTGAACCTCCTCTGGTAACACTAATCCAGCTAGCTAGTGAATAAGCCAATAATGAAACTGGTTCAAAGTCAGACCAAAATGGGAAGATGCAGCAAGAATCATTGATTACTAATATAAATGTTGTATTGTAACATGATATTTTGTGACTCAGAAAACATTGTTTAATGTTTATTTTTGTTACAGACCCACCAAGGATGAATCCAGATGATTTAGCTAAATTCTCTGAGCCTGTGATTATCAAGGTTGGCCAAAATGCTTCCTTTAAACTGAGCTTTGTGGGTCAAGAGCCAATAAAAGTCCAGTGGTACAGTGAGGGTGAGGAGCTGCTGAATGACACCAACATCAAGATTGAGAAGTCCTCCAGTCACAGCAGCTTACTCCTAACCAAGTGTCAGCGCAAAAACACAGGGAGATCAAGCTCAAGCTAAAGAACGAATTTGGGACTATTGAGGCTTTCTCCAAGCTCATCGTCTTAGGTTAGTAGTGTTTAGAGTCTAATGTTGGAGTATTTGTGTTTAGTGGCTTAAGTGATGGTCAGAACCTATTAACAGATCCAGGCTTCCTCACTGATATAACTTGAGAATAACTCTAGCCAGTTTGCATTGTTTCCATTTGTTACTGAATAATACTCCTTAGATTGTAACAACACTGTGAATTTAAATAATTGAAATTGGCTAAAATAAGGGGGGAAAATGTTCTTCCTTTATTCAAATACAGACAAGCCTACCAATCCACTGGGCCCTGTGGACGTGATTGAGGCATCATCATCTTGTGTGGAATTCAAGTGGAGGCCTCCAAAAGACGATGGAGGCTCTCCAGTGATTCACTACAATCTTGAACGGCAACAGATAGGGAGAAACACCTGGAAAAAGATTGGGAACATCCCTGCGGAAGCCCACTATAAGGACACAGATGTAGACCATGGAAGGAAGTACTGCTACCGCATTAGGGCCATAACTGCAGAAGGCACAAGCGATGTGTTTGAGACAGATGACATACAGGCTGGCACTAAAGGTGCACGTCAATCACACATTTGAATGAACAGAACACTCACTTGAGCTTTACCAATCCCATAGATGAATGCTTTTTTCCTAAACATTGACAAAAATCTGCTCTACTACAAAATTTCATTACAATGAAACTGCTAATATCCACCCCAACCCTCAAGTTAACTATACCAAACTTTTCATATGAGTTTTACTTGTGCTAATTTCTGCAAATCTGTAACTCACATCAGGTATTTAAACACTAATCAATCTGCATAACTGTTTTATAGCTTATCCAGGTCCACCGTCCACACCTAGAGTTGTCAGTGCCTTCAAGGACTGCATAAATCTAACATGGACACCACCCACCAACACTGGAGGAACAAACATTGTGGGCTACAACCTGGAGAAACGCAAGAGGGGCAGCAACCTGTGGAGTCAAGTAAACCCTCCAGAGGAGCCAATCAAAGGTTGAACACCTGGATGTTTATCTTTGATCTCTAGGCTATAGAGATACTAAGATGTTCATTAGCTCTCTGTTGAATTCCTCTGAAGGCATTAGTAATGCAGACTGCAGAAGTGGTTACAATACTAAAATAAAAGTAAGAGTCAGATTATGATACCATGCTGACTGATTCCAGCCAGTTTTTAACAATGATTAATCTTTGCTGAGCACTTTAAAATGTTTTAGATAGCTTACCCATTTTCCAGTAACAACAGCAAATTACCCAGTAAGTACTATGAAACTACCCTGTAAGGTATGTGCTCTACATGGTCAATGGTATGTGGACACCTGAACTTCACATCCATATGTGCTTGCTGAGCATCTTACGGAGTTAGTCCCCCTTTGCTGCTACAACAGCTCCTACTCTTCTGGGAAGGATTAGAGTCCCAGATTTTGGAACATGACTGCTGGGATTCACTTTGATTCAGCCACAAGAGCATTAATAAGTTTGGGCAACAAAAATATATTGGGCAAAAAGGAAAAAAGTGGCTCAAAGCTGCTGTTTCAAGCTCAGGACTCTGCACAAGCCATTCAAGTTCTTGAAAATCATTTCTTAATGGACTTCAGTTTGTGCACAGTTGCTGCAGACTCTGTTGTGTAGGCTTCTATAGACTGTTTGTTGTAGACTCTTCAATGGAACAAAGGGAATCAGTCCAAACCATGAAAAACAGCCCAAGAACATTATGCCTCCTTCATCAAACTGCACCAGATGGTGAAACATATTTCAATATTCCAATGAACGCATCTACATTGCACCAGAATCCAATGGTAGCATGCTTTACACCACTCCAGCAAATGTTTGGCATTACACATGGTGATCTTTGGTTTGTGTATAGCTAGTGAGCAATGGAAACCTAATCCATGAAGCTCCCGACAAACAGTTCTTGGGCTTGCTTATGTTGCTTCCAAACGCAGTTTATAAATCATGCAACCAAGGACAGACAGTTTTTCCGCCAGCACTCAGCAGTTCCGTTCTGTGAGGATGTGTGGCCCTACTGCTGAGACGTCATTGCTCTTAGACGTTCACACTTTACAATAACAGCTCTTTCGGATGGCTGGGGTAGGTCTAATACAGGAGAAATTCAATTAACTGACTTACAGGTGGCATCTTTTACACTGTAAAAAACAGGGGTGGGGGGCACAGATTCTTGTTCCGTTTAATTACTGCTGGAAATTCAATGAACTAAAAATTTTAAGGAAGCCTATTAAAATTTTTTAAAGTCAAAACTCTTTTTTTAACAGTGTAGCAGTGCCATGTATGAGAATCACCGAACTCCAGTGTGACGCAATTTACCAGTGTTGGTCTATGGAGATTAAATGTCTGTATGATTGAATTTATTTACCTGTCAGCAATGGCTGTGGCTAAAATTAGAAGGGGTGTCCACACACCTTGCCATGAAGTGTAGATACAAGAGCAAAGAACTGATGTTTGGACCTGCCAACAGGTCTTTCAAGTTTAAAGTTCAAATACTTCAACTACTATTAATTCACTCATTGCTTCTGCTTCCAGCCAAACAGTATGGAGTGAAAGATGTTGTTGAAGGAATAGAGTATGAATTCCGCGTCTCAGCCATCAACTTTTCTGGTGCTGGAGAACCAAGTTCACCCTCTGAATTTGTGATAGCCAGAGATCCTAAGAGTGAGTCATGAAAAGTAAACACACACATGGTTACACCTCAAAACAAAAAGGAATTATGGAGGTTGTACAGTCTTTGTCTGTACTACCCTAAATTCTAGATGAACTAGTAACAATAATAATAAGAATAGATGAAATAATAATAATAATTACAAAATTCTACTATTTGCAGAGCCCCCTGGTGCAGTAATTGACCTAAAGGTGTCAGACTCCACATATTCTTCATTGTCCCTAAGTTGGACAAAACCAAAGGAAGAAGAAGGTGTGCAGGATGAAGCTAAAGGATATTTTGTGGAACTAAGGCCAGCAGAGAACACAGAATGGACTCGGTGCAACTCCAATCCAATTATAACAACTTCCTACACAATTCTTGGTCTTAAGTCTATGGCCATGTACTGGGTAAGAGTGGTCGCAACCAATGAAGGTGGAGATGGTGAACCCAAGAATCTAGACAACTATATCATCGCTATGCCTCCACCAGGTAAGATGCACCAACTATACAATCAACGCATGTGTTCTTTGATCAATCAGTTATTCTGTCCATCATATTCCTTTGTTTTTATTAAATAACTACCAATATTATGACAGATAAAACCACAGATATAAGTATGCTAGATTAGCTGAATTCTGCTAATTTATTGCCTCATATCAAATCCTGTAGAGTCACATAACAACCTCATTCCCTCCCAATTATCATTCATTTACAGTGAGGCCAAATTTCACTGATCGGAAAATGAAGAGCTTTATGGTGGTGAGAGCTGGAAACTCTGCTCGAGTCACCATCAATTTTGAGGTATGATTTCAAAATCTATGAAAGGCTTATAATAATAAAAAAATATATACATACTTGTATATATACAAAAACACATACTTGAGTATTTACTTCCAATTTACAGGCATCTCCCATACCAACAATAATCTGGCTCAAAGATGGAATGCCTGTTTCTAAACATGTGACTGTGAGCAACACCGACGGGACATCTCAGCTCCTGATCCCATCTGCAGAGCGTTCAGACACTGGAATCTACACCATCATAGTCAAGAACATGGTGGGGCAAGAGACCTTCAGCACTGAGATCAGGGTCACAGGTAATGCAGTGTTGACTGAAACATTTTAGTTCAGAAGAGCAGATAGAAATCTCAAAACGTTCAAAGGCCAATTTTTTTTAGTAAAGATAGAAAGAGTAAAAATGCGAAGTATGAAAGTGTGGATGATTTAAAACTATGTCTGTTAAGAAGCTAACTTGTGTGGCACAGATCTAGGAACAGGTTTGACTGTGTTGCAATTGTGAAACAAATCACATAACTGAAAAGTCATGGATGGAATTTAGATCACATAAACGTAAAAAATAAAAAAACAACATCTGTTTCTGTATCATTCACAGATGATCCTAAACCTCCTGGTCCAGTGGAACTGGAGCAAAACGTCCCTGGCACACTTACTGTATCCTGGACGCCATCGCCTGATGAGAAAAGAGATGACCGCTTGCACTATACGGTGGCAAAACGTGACTCGGTCAAACAAACTTGGCACACTGTTGCTCATCGTGTGTTTAACAACAACTTCACAGCTGTCAACATCATGCCAGGGAGGGAGTATAACTTCCGCGTGTATGCCAAGAATGATATGGGGCTCTCTGAACCTTCTGAGTCCCCAACATGGGGGGTTGTAAGGAAGAAAGGTAAAGAGTGTTTTTGCTATTCACACAGCTCTGTTGACAAAGTCTAGTAGAATTTTATTCCTTTAGGAGTTGAACATTATTATTTTTGTTTTGCTTGTTATTCAAATGTAACCTAGTAATTACTTATTTGCATAATGAATTATACAAATTAATTACATTTATATTCATTTTACACTAGTTTTGAAATTAGTTGTGAGTTTGCACTTTTTTCCATTTGTTTCGATGGGTGAGAAATGATGATGCAAACATAGCAAAAATGTAAAAGGTGTTTTTTTTTCCTGCAAAACAAAACACTATTTTCTCATAAAATTCAAATCATCACTGAATTTCTCCACTTGTTTTGATAGAAATAACAAATACCGAATGACACCACATGATAACTGTGACATCTAAGGGTAAAAGTACATCAGCATTGAGGTCAAGATTAGCTATACATGTGTTGCTGAAGATGTGTGGTTATTAAATTATTCAACATGAGTATGTTTAAATCTTTCCTACAGAAAAGTTCACAGTCAACATGCCTGAGCACAAGACCTGCAACTTTGATTCTGCTCCTACTTTCACGGTCCCGCTGAAAACACACACCAGCCCAGAGAAATATGAGTGCTACATGAGCTGTGCTGTAAAAGGCAACCCCACCCCCCATGTCACCTGGTACCGTAACAACGTCAGCCTCAACACGAACACCAACTACTACATCACCAACACATGTGGCGTCTGTTCCTTACTAATCCTGAGTGTGGGGTCCAAGGACAATGGAGAATACAAAGTTGTTGCAGAGAACACTTTAGGCCGTACAGAGTGCTCCACCCAGCTCACAATCAGAGGTATGCCATATTGCATAGTAGTAAAAAGGCTATATCCAGAAATGATTAACTATAAATCTACATACTCTTATGCATGATTCATTTATCTTTAGAGAATTCAAATTCTTCACTTGTTTTTCTCTTTTTTTCCCCTAGAATGAAGACATTTCAGGGTGTTCTAAGAGCTTTCTCATCTTCTTCTATCTGTAATCATGTCACAAAACATAAAACCATACACTTTATTTTGTCACTAAATGTAAAAGTTTCAGTTCTAAACACCAGTCAAAACAGAGCAGCTCCTACCTGCCCAGATGACTTCAGAGACATTAAATTTAGCAGAAAATGAAAGAAGATAACGTTACCAGCACACATGTGAAACACACTTTACCCAATCTGTCATTTTCATTCATTTGCAAACGAAATAAAGAAAATGACATGATGATCATACCAGACTGGTTAACCAATCATAGCTAAACTGGTATTGTGTTCTCTTCTATTTTCTTCTTACCTTGTTGGTTGAAATTAACATGTATGGTGGCTATTTATTAAACTTAAAAGCTGTTGTGTATGTTTTACTGCCAGTGCATGTAAGCTCAACTGGAGCCAATGTCCTATCACTAAAATTTCTATTATTAATTGAGTAATCTACCTGTTATTTTGACTCATAAACTATGCATAGCCTTTAAAGGAACTGCTTTTTCATGAACAATTAAACTAGGAAGCCTTATATAATCATTTGTTTAAGAAATGCATATAGTTCAATACAAACCTTATACCCTATACTGTACCTAGGAAGATGTGTAAATGGGGACTAGCAGAGTACACTGTATACTGTCATCAGTCTCAGGATTCAAAACTTGTTTTAGTTTTGTTTGTACAGGTTATGACCAATGATGCAGTCAACTCAAACATTTTCAGATTGTCAGATATACAAAAAATAATTAAAAGTCATTTTTTCATTAAGCAACTTATTTACTCTTACTTAAGTGATTTCCTTCATTAATACATTTAGTTGTATTCAAGCAAATTATCAATACAAAAAACTGTATTTTTATTTAGAGATTTTCAGTGCTCTTTCCACCTCTTGGAAAATGTAACGAAAGTATGAATTAAAAAATTAGGAGTAAGTTAAGCTTGCAACGTATAACATAGCTGTTGTTCTCTTGCTATAGATACACATCACATGGCATTGAATGCAGTTCAATTTACAGTTCTGATGCTTAATGTACTGCTTTTTTCATCACTGCAATAAAATACTAAAGACAACTGTCTGACATTACATGGGCACTTTTACATACAACTGTGTTGATTTTGTGAATTTTATGTAGCTCATTTGCCTTTTTAGGAGATGGAATATAAGCATGTATGTACAAATAAACTAAATGAATCAATGACTTTGTTCAGACATGACTACATGGCATAAATACTGGCAGTCATAATACATATTATGTAATAAAACTGTCCCAGTATGGTGTAGTCTACAAATATTACACACTCCCTCTCTGTGTCCTGTAAAGTTTGTATTTTGTCTAGAGCACGAAATAAGGTTAAAGGTTAAAAACATCTAGGAGTGAAAACAAGTGACCTTCTGCTTTATTGGCAATTAAACTTCCTTGTAAATGCCAGGGCCGTCCTTTTAAATGAGTTTTCTGAAATGTATTCACAGCTATAGTTTTAACAAGCAGGCTAAATTTAAAACTCTAAAACTGCATTGAGAAAGTATAAAGTACAGCTTTGTAACTGCAACCTAGAGTCACTGTGATAAAAGAAAGCCAACAAAGACAAAATCAGTTCAAAATTTCTGTTCATTACATCAGCCCTGGTCTCAGTTCATGGGCTTCCATTAATAACTCCCAACAGTCTGCACAGGAACACGAGAGCATGCTGATAGTAAAAGAGAAATGCAATGAGGTCTTGTGACAGTTGACAAAATAGAGCCTCTGGGTCACCATGTGGTGGAGGGAGCGAGATGGATTCAAACTGAAGATGGACAGATGGGGCGGACAGAGATATCAGCGTTTTCCAAACTGGGCTCCTGGGACACCCTGAGATCTGAGAAGCTGAGAGTTAACAGTGTCAGCTTTTTACTTTGCAATTGGTTGGTACAGCATTGAAATATCAAGATGAATAATCTTAAAGGGTTCAATTCTAACAAGGCATGTTGCTATTTACTTGAGCCCATATTATAAACAGAATAGTCAATTTGTCTGCCTTAACTCAAAACACCATTCTTGGCACAATAATGATAGCAAAATGTGGCCTAGTTTTCTGAATTTTTCTGGCCATTTGAAATAAGAAAGAAGTCAAGCTCTACCACCACGTACACAAGAGAATAAACAAAGCATATTTCTTATTTCTTATTTCTTATTTACTTACCTACTGATTTTGCTATTTGTTTATGCTGGGAATAGTGAAAAGGTTATTGAGAATAAAACATGGAAAAAACCTTTCATGTGTACTTTGGTCTGGACCAGAATTCACCATAAAGGCATAAACCATCTACGTGACAAACTATTTAAAACAATATTTGAATGCCCAGAACTTAAAACAGTATTTTGCTTACATAATCAGGTTATGAGGCCACATAATTTCCATCTTCAGGAAACCCCAGTCAGCTGCATGCACTCTTTTTGCTGTGTTTACATATGTACAAAAATAATAATATTTTTTCCATCACAATTTCTAAAAGTAGCATCACAAGAGAGCACACAGCTTTCCAAATGGAGCACAAAGCCACGTGACTTTGAATGTATTACACAATGCGTGGAACACTGTTGTGCTGCTGTATCATGGTGACCCCTTGACCCTGCCTCACCACAGCAATAAAAGCCTTCAAGCCTCTCAGCTCATATCTCAGCACGCATGGAGCCTACTTTGGGTTGGCCTGTGGTGTGAAGCACTTAAAACTTCCTAAAATATCCATCCCTGTCAAACATAACTTCCATCGGAAATAACAGTTCCCTGGGCATACAAGAAATGTTTTACGATTTTAAGGAGAACAGCTTCTCTTTTATACTCAGTTTCCAACAGTGAAGGCCTAACTGAGCACCTTAAACATTTGAGTCTCTGCAATTAATCCATGATTACAACACATTACTGACGCAGAACTGCTCTTTATAAACTAGGATGTAGAGGATCCAAGTACAAACACACTGTACTTTTCTCAAATTGAATTCCACTACACAATCTTTCAGTCCAAGGCTTCCGTAATTTGCTGAACACAATGCAGCCTTGTTGCACCATAGCCTCCTGACAGCACATCACTGACATTGCTGTGTCCAAATTGTTCAAGGAGGTAAAAACTAACTTTCATTTTATTTTTTATACTGATGGGCAAATGGTAAATCTTTTATTCAGACTGCACAAAAAGTAGTGCTGTGATGTTGGATGTAACAGGGACTGTTTTAAATGCAAATACAGATCCCACTGTTCTGATTGCATTAGTAAACTTTTAGTTTGATCCGGTTTTATGCATATGGTAGTGTGTTTTTTAAACTATGACAGTTTTCCTAAAATTAGATGAAAAAAATCACAGCTCGCTTAAAGTATCACAATATATCGCAATGTACTGAATCACACCTGTATGATGAATGTATTGTATTGTATTGTATCGCCAGGTTCTTGCCAATACACAACTCTAGTGTTTTACCAATATTAACACTACATACACAAGCCCAGAAGACATGTGTAGGTTCACTAAGCATTTTGGATAGTAAATAAAACGACTACACTTGTGCTGTAATTACCATACCTGGTTACCTGGTTTTGATTGTAAAAAAATGTAAAAAGATTAATTCGATAGGTTTCTCTACAATGAATCGATTCACATCAAACCACTCTGGATGATTTTATTTACATTTCATCCACTGAATTACAAAGGAATTTTTTAAAAAAATGAGTGGAATTCCTCTTAAACTAAGCAAATAAGCTGTCTCAAGTCTGTCCTGTACACCTTTTGAGCTGCTTCTCTAGCAAGGCATGCACTGTTCTTTCATTAGTTGTTGTCCTGATAGGTTCCTGTTCAAAGATGCACATAAACGAAGAAAAACACTGCCCAGTTTTACTACAGAATCATCAGAATGGGATAACTATTTGTTAGTAACAATGATCGTACACAGACGAATGGTGATACAATGTTATTATAGATTATTGTATATCATTTTAAACTTAAAAGCTCTGCACCATGCAAACCATCTGATTCCTAAAATTTTCAGTGTTATGGATGTGACTGCACCATAAAGAAATGCTGCAGTTCAACTGCAAAAGAGAGAATGTAGAAAGGCTGAATGCAGATGGTGTAAAAACAAGCTTCAGATCCCCAAAAATATCTTCAAAGAAAGGCTGTGTGATTACAACACAACACTGTGCAAAGCCAGACAATCTTTCTTCTCCAGCATTATCAACAATAATATTAACAACAGCGAAATACTCAACACCATGGTTGACAAACTAACAAAGTCACCTACATTGTATCAACTGAGAGATGTAATGAGTTTGCATACTTTTTTAAACACTAAAATCCATAATATCAGACAAGCCATTAGTACATCTGCAGTGCCCTTCAAAAATATTGCCACTGCTGGTAATCATTAGCAAAATGAGCTGTAAAAAATATTCTTAATTACTTTTTCTTTTTGATCTTTCATTCAAAATATTAGCAAACACTTAAATGGTTAGCCATAACTTCCTGTTTCACTAGGGAATATTTATGAGAAACACAGACAAATTCCCCCAGTCATCAGGCTATGAGAAAGACCAGAGAAAACAGCAAGGATGTATGACAAAAGGTTGTGGAGCTGTGCAAATCAAATGTCTACGAAAAAACAGCTAAACTACTGAAAATGCTTATTTCCAGTATCAGGTCAATAACTAAGAAGCTTAAAAAAACGGGAGATGTTAAGAATCTGCTGGGAAGAAGATGCATATCTATACTGACCACTTGCACAATGAGAAGAATGTTTCTCAAACCACAATCAAACACCACCTATATAACCACAAGTTGTTTGGGGGGTTGCCAAAAGAAAGCCTCTTTTGGCAAGTGCCTACAATTTGCCAAATGTTACTGGAACTTTCAGTGGGCCTGTATTCTACGGTCAGATGGGACCAAAATAGAGGTTTTTGGCAACAAACGCCAGAGGTGAGTTTGGTGTGGACATAACAATAGCCATGCAAAAGAGTACCCCATCCCCACTGTGAAGTATGGTGGTGGATTTTTGATACGGTGGGGCTGTTTTTCTTTCAAAGACCGTGTACAAGTCATTCAGATACACGGTATCACAGAAAATGAAATCAAAACCTCTGCCTCAGCCAAGAAGCTTAAACTGGGCCATAATTTTTCTTCCAGCAGGACAATGATCCAAGGTACACCTCACAATCAGCAGAAAAATGGCTCTCTGACCACAGAGTTAGGGTTTTGCCATAGCCACCCCAGAGCTGAGCAAAGGGAGACTGCAGAAAGTACTTAATGAAGGGGTGCCAACAATATTTGTGATGGGCACTGTACATCCACCACTGAGCCTGTGTTCTCCTAACCACCACAAAGATTTCATGGTTAAAATGTCCCAGTTTAGTGCTATTAATAATGAAATTTAAATCGATATAGTGAGCTGTCCCAAATCATCCACTTGTAGTTTTGACATGTTACGAACTAACTTTTTAAAGAATGTGTTTCACTCAATAGCAGCAGACATACTTCAGATAGTAAACACTTCACTCTTGTCAGGCGTCTTTCCTAACACAATAAAAACAACAGCTGTGAAAGCTCTTTTAGAAAAAAGAAATCTATAAGCAACTCTATGAAGTAATTACAGACTGATCTCAAATTTACATTCATTGGAATCTACTTTCATTGGAAAAACTGTTGAGAAAATCATCTTCAAGCAACTTAGAGGCTTTCTGTCCTGAAACAGCTGTCTAGACAAATTTCAGTCAGGACTGAGACTGATCTAATTAAGGGTATTTATTACATTTTTTTAAATACAGACTCTGGAAAAAGGTCTGTTCTACTACTGCTCAATCTCAGCGCTGCCCTTGATACCACTGACCACAAGATTCTCATATACTGACTTGAGAACTGGGTTGGTCTCTCAGGAACTGTCCTAAAATGGTTCAGTTCATACCTGCAAGGAAGGAACTACTTTGTTGAAACATAGAATAATGTTTCTGAAGCCTGGTTTATACCTGACTCATTGCAAAAGTCGCAAGAGGCTGTGAGGCTAAAGTGGCGTCACACACCCAGGCACACCCCTGCGAGAAAGCTATGAGTGTCTGTTAATCACCATGTCGCCAATTACGCGGCGCTGCCAATACAGGCGCCAAACAGAAACATGGAGACCCTTTTCCATCCTCATTCCCGCAAAACTTGATGCAGAAAGTATAATCCAGCCTTGAGAGAGTGCCAGTGACGCGTGGGGTCCCCCAGGGTTCAGTTCCTGGGCCACTCTTATTTAATTTAAACATGCTTCATACATTGATAACTGTAATTTATACATGCTTCATACACTGATTACTGTAGTACTGTGATACTAGCATATTTAATCTGATATGTTTCAGGAATAGGAGACAAGTATAACTCTCAGATCATTAGGAACTGTTAGTCCTGTTTACGGTAAAGACTAAGCATGGATAAGCCAGTTGACAGACAAAATTAGAAGAGCCCCGACACCAGACACTTTCAAACCAGGGCTGAAAATGTTCCTATTTGAGCAGCTTTCAACTGAGTTTAAAACACTGTTAGCTCTACTGCACGTCTCTGTTGTAATGGCACTCTATTATACTAATTTATTTTTAATTAGATTTTTAATTTAATGATTAATTTCTTCTTTTTTTAAATGTATTATTTTAATCATGTTTTAATTTCTATTAAATTTAACTTCATTTAATTTGAATTATCTTTGTATTTTTTTCTTTTGTAAAGTACTTTGAATGGCCACAATGTATGAAAGGTGCTAAATACATAAGCGTGACTTGCCTTGAATACAGGTAACATGTGCAGAAGCTCCAAACCAGCGCCTGCATTCTTTTCCAGTTCAGAAATGGCAGCTCAAGACCACTCATCATCGGAGGGTGTCAAATGTGATAATATTTCCCTCACCAATGTCAGGGATGACTGTAATATCATATCAGAAAAGTCCACAGGGGTCCCTAGCTCAGATGAGCAAAGCCTCCACTAAAGCACCCAGAAGGCTGTTTTAGGCCGGTCACGTTGCTGTAGTCACTGCTAGTCACACGATTTTCATGTTCCTTACAGTGAATTGAAAGCATAAGCAAGACTTTTTTTATGGTAAATATTTCATTTTCAGCACTGTGTGATAACATTACTAAACAGATTGATTAGCTACAATAAATAACCCAGGTACAAGTTAGCTTAGTTAGCTGGTTTCTAGCTAACAGTGACAGCTAACAGGGCTAACTTCAACAGCAAGTTACTAATTACTTAAACTATTAAACCATTTACTCCACAGCAATAAACAACCTCTTCAGATTAGGTATATTAAATAATACAGATAACACGGATACTACCATCTGATTCCTGCTATTAATGGTAAATAAGCAAAAAAGCTAACATTAACTAATTAGTTGGTAATTAAACCGACTAACAAACAGCATGACTGCTAAAACTACATATATTCTATCTGTCTTGGTCCCCTTCAGGTGAACTGAAAAGATCGTAGCTAGAAGCTATTGAAGGAGGTGCTGAGAAGCGTATATATTCCTACATTAGTGCTAGTTTAAGAAGGATCAACATGAAACAGTTCTTCATATAGAGATACAAACTTGATTATATGATCATATTCTGACCTGCATTGGTCAAGAAATTAAAAAGTGCCATAGAAAGCATTTATTCAACATTTTAAAATTGTTTTCTGCTCTCTACATAGAAGGTACATGACTTTAGTCGGGGCGAGATGTCCAGATGTGGTTTTACATGTTCATTTCAACCCTATGATTCAGCTCTAGAATGAAACAAGCCGTTTTCTGTTTTTTGGTGGGCTCATGAATAATTTGCTGAGCCCTGCTCAGATTTGCTAGTTTACGATGAGGCCCCATGATGGCTCACACAGAACCAGCATGTCAAAGTAGACACAAGCAGGAAAATGAAATTAACCTCTGTGTAAATAAGCTAGGTCGTCATACTATTTTGTTGGCTATTTGAAGCTTAAGTATACCTATACTAGCTAGCATCAGCTAACATCACCTATACTAGCTAGCTACTTGCTTTTGACATCAACAATAGCACAAAGCAAAGCTGTTAGCTCACTATGAAACTTTACATTTAAAGTTATCTGGCTTCAACTGTCAGTAAGTGGATAAAATCACACAGCATGGCTACTTACAGGTTGCTGTTGTGGTTGTGATACTAATAAAATTGGAACTGTCCCTCTCTTCAGTCTCTTCAGTGTCAAACGCTGAGCAAATCCTGGTCGATACTGTCCAACTTGTTGATCCTTGTTGCATCAAACGATCAGGCGAACCTGCATTCTCCTCACTCTACCACACTAACATTTTAAACATTCAAACTCTCTCAGCTGTAAGTTTACATTTACTCCCTAAATGAAATGTAAGGATTAAAATAGTTTATTCAATAGTTTTAATAGACAGATTAATGTAATTAATGTAATTCTTTTAAATACGTTTTTTTTTAATACACATTGATTTAATTTCAAAAGATTTTATTTTTAAACTGGATTAATAGATACGCCTTTAAGTTAAGGCTTAAGGCCTAAGTGATAGCTTAAGTGATACTCAAGAATTTATTTATTTAGACATCACCTTTCCACCACCCACTGCTTTAACCTAGACTTCCCCTCTACAGTGTCGTCTTAATGGCTAGACATCCGGTCATGTTGGTATTTTCATGAGGTCTTTCAATCATATGACTAGTTTTATGAAGACATATTGAACATAGTCTGGATTGATTTATCTTATTGTTGAGAGCCTGACAGACAGGAGTCAATGCTTCGTCCATAATATGTTCTCTGGGAATCTGGGGCCAGGGGTAGATGGGTCCAACGTTTTATGCATTCTCTGTTGGTGAATAGGCAACTATATGTCTGAATTACAATATGGATGAATCACTGAACTCTTACACCTTCCTTCTCATAAAGTTACACATTAGTATGCTACTGTGCAACCGGACATCACTTATCAACTCGTCCAACAATGGATATAATCACAATGGCAGTGGTTCTATGGCTATCCTAATAGTAGCTACTGTAATTACCATAATAAACTGCATAAGGTTTAAAGGCTAAGTGTCAAACACAAGGCCCACGGGCCATATCAGGCCCACGACACAATCCTATCCTGCATGCAAATAAAAATATTTCAATTTTCTATTAATATTAGCTCTATTTCACAATACGCTGCCCTACAGTCCCCAGCATGCACTGCAACATAATGTTCTACAAATGCACTCCAAATCTCCTATGCCAACAACAATCTATGGGACAGCAGTTACACCTCAATTATACACAATTCTTCGCAATTCCACACCTGTCATATCACTAAACACACTAGCTGCATTTCAGCTGCAGTTAAACCAGTATAAACACTTAACATTAACTCAGCAGCTCAGAAATCGAGCCCAAGTATTAATGAACTTGCAGTAAAAAAGGATTATGCCAGGTATCTAGTTCAAGCAAATAGGTATATTTAAAAGACCGAGCTCCTGGGACATTTAAATTTTGAATATTTCAAGTATTTATGCAATATTTCACAATCTACTACAAGTGCCTGTATTTTACTGTTGAAGTTTTTGTGTATTTTGAATAAACAATGGCCAGTTCGGGATATAGCACAACATTCATTAAAGATAAAATAAAAACATTTTTTCTCTGGCCCACGGATTTGTTGAGATTTTTTAATTTGGCCCTTTTAGTGGTTGGGTTTTACACTGCATTACAGTTGGGCAACAGTGCTCTTAAAATACAGACAATGCTAACTGCCACTCTGACTACAGAACATGAAATATAAGGAATGTAAAGGAAAAGTAACTCATTTTGAGAATACACAATACAAATAAATGTAAACTTGTGTTGCATAACAATTTAATTTCTGTCCCTGGGCAGTCCACTATGAACTCCATATGAACTAAGCATTGCAAATCAGATTTGATGATGATTATCACATTCTCTCTAGATTATCCGGTGTCATTGTGCATTTTTGCACATTAGCTAAACGACATACCTAAACTGAAGCAGAGCAGATAGAAAGCAGAGTAAAAGCCAATAAAGATTATCTTACTGTATTCTTTGTATTCCTTTGTATCTTTTAGCTTTCCTCCAGTATTTCCCTCAAAAGGCTGTATGTGATGACATTTCAGTTAACACTGTAAAGATCTTTCCACTCTTATCTCTATATCACAGACCCAATAATGGTTATAAGGTCTGTACAACACAAAACTTTCCTTGTCAAAAAACTTCTTGCATGGCAGGAAGTCTTTCTTTTTCTAAGAACTTTGTGTTTTCACTTTTTACAGGCTAATTAGCCATTCTTACATCAACATATTATCCAAGTTACTTGCCATTAACCACAAAGCGCTTCAACTCTCATCCCTTCAGGGGGAGCTCTCCATCTATGATTTAGTACTCTCAGACTGGCAGTTACTGGGCAGTGGGGTCTTGGAGAGCGGAACCTTGCTGGCGCCCTGGCATGCCTAGATGGATTTATTAGCCTTGTGCATCCAGAGGCTTCACTGGACTATCAAGCAAGGCAACAGAACAGGCTTCACAGTACAAGCAGAGGTCATCTCACTAAGGGTAAGTTCATTCGCCACACTTATGTGGCACCAAACTTTCAAACACAGATTCACTTTGGAGAACAACAGTATTGCTCATGTTAACTATTTAACACTTAATTACCTCTCCTATTTTTTCAGTTAATTTTGATTAATTTGGTTTAGACTGGAATAATATTCCTTCACATATTGCTCACTGATCTTATGATGTAATTATATTTCATGCTTTTTAGCATCCATGTGCAAAAGAAAGGTAAAAAAAAACCAGAAACTCAAATCTTTAAGTAGACATAATATTTGTTAATTTTAGGAAATCTTTTTTGCTCATTTTTGGTCACCACAGAATGTGTCATTCTCTCATGAACTAAACATGTGCATGATGATCTAGTTCACAGCTGACTCATCCTTCCTGGATGGTAAATGCTAATCACTGTCCTATTTCATACAGAAAAAAAATTAACCAATATGGCAATGCTTTAATTCCACCAACATGTAATTGGGTTTTTTTTCCTCTAAGTAACAGCTTACATCAACATCTGTTGCCAAATACTGCCAACCTGAAATCACGCAGCTACTTTGCTGAGAGGTTATTTAGAAGACAATCTAAAATCAACTGGCAAAAGTACATCACGAAGGTGTCAACTAGAATAGAAAGTTATTACAATGAATGAGCATATAATCCAGATTCTCATTACTGAAAACCAGCACTAAACCATTAGTCTGATACTCATAGCATCTGCTTGACAATACTTTGTAAAATAACAATTCATTGAGTGAGTATTTCATCCCCTTGTGTTTTTGCCTCAGTATTAGAGAACATTTTGACAACTAGCTGAATAATCTTTTAAAATAGCTGGACTGAACCTGCCCTAAAGTGGACTACTTTCCCTGCTCTAAAACACAGTTTCAGTAATGTATGGAGTGATGAAATTAGTGAGTACTCACTAAACTGTGTAGTGCAGAGATACTCCAGGGGGGAAACTTAGAGACAATGATCTAGACCACTGTGTACATCCTGACCTACAGCTGCATGGCTGATCTCTTTAAAGGTTTGCAGCTCATCTAACATAATATTGTGATTTTGAAGAAGAGCATATACATTGTCAAAATGCTTTGGGGTTATCCAGTAAAGAATCTGTATCTGCTAAAAACTGATTAGCTATTCAGTTTTGTTTAATCTCAGTTACAAATCTATGTTTGTTGTCCTACAACCTGCAGTGTAATGTGAAGCACATTCAAGAGCAAAATCTCCGTTATACCTTATGTTCCAAAGACCATTTTACTCACAGATTCACAGGACCTTTTTATGCAAGAAAGCAAGAAGCCTGTGCCCACCCAGCTGCATAATTTCCTCTGACCTCAGTTCAATCTGCTAACATTTGTCAGAGGCATAAAAACAAGCTTCCCATTAGCAACTTTGGCTGCTCTTACATTAGCCATGCAACTTGCTGGAGATTATATATGCACAGCAGGCAAACTTATAATACTGCAGGGACCTTTACAATACTGAACAGACCTTTAATAGAGTGAAGGGATGATTCCTCTCAGCAACTGCTACATCATCGTAGGCAGACCTGGCAACTGATCACTGGCCTGAGACCTGTAATAATAGCCTGCAAACTTCAATTATTATTGATGAATACTAAGTGGGATGGGAAGCAGAGCAAATTATTATATAACAGGGCTTTTGAGCGGTGCGACTGACTAAGACTGATCAGTCATAACTTAAACCACCTTGTTTCTACACTCGTTGTCCATTTTATCAGCTCCACTTACTATAGAGGTGCACTTTCTACAATTACAGACTGTAGTCCACCTGTTTTTCTGCATACTTTTTAGCCCCCATTTTACCCTACTTTTCAATGGTCTGACCACCACAGAGCAGGTATTATATGGTAAGTGGAGCTGATAAAATGGACAACGTAGAAATAAGAAGGTGTTTTAATGTTATTGCTGGTCGGTGTATTAGTGATGTGCATTCCAACTAATTTAGAGACTGAAGTATCTGCAAGATTTAATGAACAGATATCCAGTTAATGACAGGGAGGGAAAAAGCAACAACAAAAGTGGAAAAACCAGACTTTGGCTGAATTTACTGTAGGGCTGTAGGCTTACTTTTTAGATGGTAGCACTGAAGGTTAAAATTTGAAAATATGTTTTCTTATTCAAAAATAGCCTTGGGAAATAGGTTTTCATGCTGAATGAGTAATGGAAGGTGCCTCCTCAGAGAGGCCAATGAGCTAATGCTAATCAGTACAACATTCGTCGCTGATGAGGTTTTGTTATGTTCTACACAGGGTATTTTCTCCTCAGTGGATGATGTGCCAACGTATTACTTAGTCAGCAAAATATCTTTTCATTGTTTCTGAACCTAACCAACAACAGCTAGAGCAGTTCGCCTAGTTACCGATAAAACTGCACCAGAGCTAACGTCCTTGACAACACGTCCTTGACAACACGTCCTTGACAACACGTGCACATTTACTCGCAAAATTGTCACATTTTACAGTCCCATTAAAACAAAGTTAGCATTTCTCTTAATTGTTAGTCTGTTTATTTCCTCTGCATTTACTGCAAGGTAATGCAAGGAATACCTGAATAGTGATTTTAGTATTCAAATGTATGAGTACACACATTAACACTAATGGAGTCTCTGTGGATATGCCATTGCAGCCACAAGCTAATGCACTGGACCCAAGCTAAACTGCTAGTCTTATTTCTTTGCTCGAGTCTGTTGACCGTATTCCTCAACACCTGTATGTATCAGACAGCCTTGTCTCAAACAATAATATATGAAAAGTCATGCTGTTACAAACACATCTTTGTCTGCTCCTCAGATACAGTAAAGCATAGCTCTCAAACTTGGTTTTGGAGTACTCCTGCACAATATAATGTTTTTCTGCTCAAACATACCCACTTCAGCAAGGAAAGAGCACAGAAAACATCAAAATGTGCACAACGAAGCTACTGCAGGACCATGTGTGGAAATCACTGCAGTAAAGTAACAGTTGTCAGATAATAGTTGGTTACTGAAGTTGATTCCTCAAGGGGAAAGTGGTGTTTCTAAGCTACTCAGACTTAATGGCCTCAGTCTGCTTGCATACTGAGTGCCCTTGAGCAGCACCTTTGGTGTTTGGTCACTCCACACAGTGACACAGCTATGTTTTCCATGCTGTTCTTCTGGCAAGGCCATGAACACTAGTGGCAGGTGTCTGCATTAAATGTTAGCATATGCAGTGAGCCACATGGGACCATAAAAATCGACCCCAACCACGTCAGGCGGCCAAGCTTTACGTGTTCTGTCAGTAGACCAGAAGCTCATTTTCAGCCATAGGATCCATACCAAGAAAGGAGCAGCCCCCTGTCCTGGTGGGGGCACAGGCCAAATTTACACCCACAAGTGTTTGACAAACCTGAGATTAACACTTTCTTTACAAGCCAACCGATATCTCATGTACAGCTTTAGTGCTATTTTGGATGAATGTCCTGAATCTCATTCTAATACCATATACCTATTAACTGGTATTAAAGAAAAGTGGTCAAGTATAAACTGATACATTCCTGCCTCCATATTTCTTAATAGTAAAAAAAAGACTACAGTAAATGCTACAGTGGTTATATCAGCCACAATCATCTGACGTTTTCTCAGCACCTACAAAAAAAATCAATTAATAGGGAATCGACTTATTCAGCCTACAAAAACAGATTTCTACCTCTTTCATGCTTTCACTCGTTTTTTTAAGAACAGACCTCTAGAACAGAACTCATCTGTTGTTTATTATATGTCCAGGAGATGATTCTGATTATGTTGTCTGTGCTAAATTGAGAGAGCTCTAGAATAAAACCTAATGTAGTTCTTTTTACTTGTATGCATACAGTTTTAAAAGATATAGAAAACAGAATTTATGGATCCATATTTTAAGTTTCATTTCCAGAGTGATCAAACGCTGCTCATTGATTTATTTTACTTTTGAATGGCATGAGAGGTTCAAATAACTACGTAACTTGCTACAGCCTCACGAGGGCTTGCAAGGGGAAACTCAGAGTATCATACATTTGTATCACATGCAGTTTTGAATTACTTGAGATATTAAATCAAAATCTTATAATATCTTTATTAGTTCACGAGTTTTACATCCGTAACAGGTCAATCTTGCAGGCGAGGAGCTCAAGAGAGTTATGTAGACTGCCCACAGTTTATCTTACAGAACATTTTATTTTTAAGATTAAAGCTAAAGTAAATTAACATTTCAGAATATCTGTCTTAACCCCCTTAAGGTTGACTTGAAAAAGGGTCTATTTCTGACTTTAAATCTGCTCTCACATGCTCGCCTATTTGGGGGGGTGGGGGTGGGTGCATCTAGCAAGAAAGAAAGCCTCATCCATCTTTTATACAGTGATAAAATGCATGTAGCATGTAGAAAGCTACCAGTTTAAACTGCATGTCAGCTTTGATGACACGAGTAAACATTTACAAGTTCTATATGTAACTGGTACATTTGTGCCAGTGTTGTTTACAGTGTTTTAAGTAAATTGAACACCTCCCAAAATATTTCCTTGTTTAAGGAATGAACACCTCCCAAAGGATTTCCTTGTTTGTATGTTACATTTAAATAAAGTGCCTATCTTGTATGTCATAGCTGGAGTACTGCTTATTCTGTTTCATGTTGCACCATGTTCCTTGGAGGAACGTAATTTCACTCCACTGTGTACTTAGAAGGAATGACAATAAAAGCCACTTGACTTGACTTGACTTGAACTACAAACCACCTATGTGCATTATAACATCAGCATTAGTCAGAAATATGTAATTTTACTCTAAAAATCTAGAAAAACTGTTATTTCACTTATTTTATATGCTATTACATACAAGCAAAATACTTCTACAATACATAATCATTATTTAAATGAAAAATGGTTTATTACAGAGGTACAAAACATGCTACTCTCCTCAGCTATCTACATTATGAACACTCCATTGCTGGCCAGGTTTCATACAGCCTCATACTGTTCCTCTTTTCTGCTTTAAGATTTAGTGGAGACCTCAAAAAGTCTGTAGATTACCAAAAACATATCAACATGTCAGCATTGGCTCATCTCAGTGTTTGTGGCCAAAGGATGAGTGACACTTGCTGTCTTCCCCTAAGAGCAGAACAAGACAAATGATCAGGGTGAGATCGGGGTGAGAGAGCTTGTTCCAGCATCTAAAGGTCACGCTGTGCTGTGGATCTTATACACTGGTCCAAGAATGAAATGAACCCCTAGGAATTTTCTCCATCTCTGATAAAATAATTACACCTAGCCATTTAGCAAAAATAACATTTAAAGAAAATATGAACAAAATATCATGCAGCAAATATGCTGCCCACATAGGGCTGGGCGATAAAACGATAACGATAAGTATATATCGATATAACTTTTCCTCGATAGAGCGATAAGACAGGTTCGATAAATGTTCGATATAATACACCATTCTCACACTTCACGTTTTAGCGAAAGCCCTGGTGGCGCTTTCTACTGCAAGGAAAGCGACACTACTCAGCTGTCGCCAGGAGAGGGCGCACTTCTGAATTTTTAGACTTGATTAGAGAGGGAGGGGGCCACGAGTAAAAAAAGGGTCGCCAAATATACTTTAGCCACGGCTGAAACGCGGAGTTATACAGTCCCTGTTTGAGTGGAGCGACCGGCGATCTGTTCTCCTGTGACCGAGTGCGAGTGACGAGGTCAGTGGTGTAACTGTACTGACCTACAGTGAACACAGTGAACCTCTTTCCGTGCATCCTAACAACTTTAGTGGTGTTAAATCACGTCTGCAGCGCCGCGTTACAGCGCCAGACCGTCATATTTTAGTATTAGTGCATTCTCGAGCAACGAAAGTGAAAGAAAGAAGTGCGTTCATGTTCGAAAGTAAACCGAGGAAGCTGTGAGGCACTGGAGAGCGGGAGAGCGCTATCTTTCCAGGCTAGCTGTTTTTAGCTGCTGGCTAATTGAAGCAGCGCTCCAGCGCTCCGGCACAACACGGTGAATTGATGATACGGTAGATCAAACAAGACACAAAATCACCGCTTTCAGTTTAAACATACCTAAAAGGAGGACTCTGTGACTGGTGTGAGAGATTCACACTGCAGATAATGCTTTTACACAGCGAACGTCAGATATACTGCGGTTCACCCCTTAAACTACTACGATAGCATAGAGAAATGCAGTCGTCGCTAACTGGTGTCTGAATACTGTGATATGCTCTGACATGGATGTGGTAGGAGTGACAGCAGTGACCTACCGAACCGAGTTGACGATGTTGAGAAACTAAAGAGTTTAGCACTGTTGTTGGCCACTTGTTAAGCATTTGCAACGGGGTAGCCAAGTGCTCGTCACCAGACAGCTAAAATAATCTGTTTTCTATCTTAAATAATATTATGACTATTAGAAAAATTGCAGCTGTGCTTTTCAAGGTGAAAAAAAAAACAGCTCAGAAACTTTCTCCCACTCTTCCATGACAGATTAGTGAAATGTTCCACTGTTTGCCGAGTGTTTGTCATGATCGGACCATAAGTGATAGTTTAAAAACCACAGTTAACCACCCAGGAGCAAAATCAGCCTTCAAACGTGAAAGAAATCATGATTTGACATTTATCGTGATATGTATCGATATCGAACAATATGAATTTTGTTTATCGTGATAACATTTTTGGCCATATCGCCCAGCTCTATGCCCACATTGTTATTTAGAATCAGCCTTGCTATACAGTCGTATGCAAAACTTTGATTTTCCAGGTAAAAACAAGTTAACACATCCTCTACAGAGAACAAGCTTAAATATGTTTTCTTTTTGTTTGTTTGTTTGTTTGTTTGTTCTTTGGCAAATGATGAAGTACACAATTTCTTTTCATTTGCTGAGTAATATTGGAAAAAATAAATCACAAAATAGATAATGTGCCATGAATTTCACACAGGCACATTTAGGCTATTTTTTTTCTCAATATGTTAAATTCAGCAAATAAACCCTAACTGTGCATGACATGTGCAGATGTGTGTTGTCTGTAGACAATGTGAACTTAATTTCACTTAAAAAATCAACAAAACACATCATTTGAATGAGGTAAATGACTGTATGAGTAATGCAATTAACATGTCTGTAACGGTAATGTGTTCACACTAATTTATACTATAATGTGTTAGACTGTATATTAACGATACCTTGAAGTATCAAGGTTAAAAACTGCTCTGCTTTATTTTGAACAAAAATATTCACGTTAGTTTGACTACATGAATTCCAAGATTCACTAAAGCACCCACAGAAACTTATCTGGAACTGGTTGTGCAGGATGCGTATAGAATCACAATGTTTGTGATATGGGGCTCATTTGCATACTGCAGATATTTGTGATATTAGTGTGGTCAAAGCCAATATTGTGATAATGACTAAGCAAACAATACACTGAGCAGAGCTTCTACATAAGCTCTTGGCAAACATAGGAACTCACTCATAAAGATGATACTAAAGCTACAGCACTTTGGGTCAACTCAGATGTGAGTAGTTAGTGCCCCCTGCTGGTAGTTTAAAGTGGTACATTGCTAATTAGATAAAAATTGCAGTCAACATTCAAATGATGCGGACTGCAAACTAAAATACAACGCTCGGGTTTTAAAGCCTGTCTCTGGAAATGCAGTTATTTATTATTTTATCTCATTTGCATCATCTAAATTACGGATCTATACTGAATTAATAAATCACTCCTTCCTTGTATGCTTGCAGGAATACTTTGTCTGTGACTACTACTAGCAAAATGTGGAAGAAAGCATCAAAGGTGACAGATCATACAGCAGAAGGCCAAGGTAAATCTATTCTATTTAAAAAAAAATCTCTCCCACCTCCTCCCCTGTGTGTGGGTAGGCATGATAATCAATCCAGCATAAGAGTTAATTCTGGGTACTCCAGGTATAAGTGGCACAAATCTGACAGTCCTGCTATTTGCTCACTCTACTTCACGATAAACAGGTCCTGACCAAACAAAGCCCTGGTGTATGGAAAAAATAACAACAAAAACAACTGATGCCTGAGCAGTTATTTGTGGCTTTGCCCTTAATTAAAACAGGGCACACATGAGTTTCTGAACAGTGCTGGGTAACTAAGGTACCCCTCAGTTCCCTTATACCATCACTGAGAATGTGGCTGAATATTTTAAAACCTTTTAAAAAAAAGAGTAAAACCTAAAACTGAATCTATGATGACTTAAAGAAATCTTGCTTTGTTGACTCTGCTTTACAAAGAATTATAGTGTGCTAGTTAATATAGCCAAGATCCAGGAAAATAAACTGATGAAAACCCCTCTAGACTTTGAAAGATTCTGGTACACTCAGAGTGATCATATCTTCACTTTCATTAATACTGCATATAATTTTTTTTTCTAAAACCAGTGGGCATCAGGAAGAAGTCCAAAGTGCCTGGTGTGATGATCATGCAGTTTGTGGAGGAAATTCCAGCAGCAAAGTCTCATCCAGACTTCACCCGCAAACCCATCGCTCTGACCATCCAAGAAGGTGCACTTCTTCCAAAAACAAAACACGTATACTTAATAATTTATACTGTGTCCATTAAAAGTGAATCAGTACATTCAATAATATGCACACATTGTGACTCTCTTCTTCGACCAACAGGCAAATTAGCAGTTTTCAAGGCTATTGTCATAGGCGATCCTAAACCCACAGTCACATGGGCCAGAAATAATGGAGATGTCTCTGACCCACAGAAATACCAAACTAAGTTTGATCCCGTTTCTCACGAACACACACTTGAGGTTTACGCTATTTTACTATTTCAACCAAAAAGCTGTTCTCTTTCTCTATACTGCATATACTTTTCTGAAATTTTCAAAGGATAATCCTCTCTGGCTCTTCTGTGTTTCAGATGCCTAATGTTTCACCAGAACAAGCTGACACGTACAAATGTTTTGCTACTAATGAGTTTGGCAGGGCTTCTGTCACCGTTGTGCTGAACGTCATTGAAGGCATGAAACTGTGGTGCTTATTTGTGTTTACATTCAAATTCAAATATGTAAGATATACATTACTAATACTTTTGCATATGCATTTCAGTGGGATTCAAAAAGGACAAAGCACAGAGAGCAGCTCGTGAGTCCTTATACTCACCGTTTTTCACAGTGTTATGATAAATGCAAATCAGTGAGTGATTTATTTGATGTATTGCATTTCTTCTTCTTCAGAAGCGGAACCAACTGAACTCAAGATGGCACTGAAGAGAAAAAGGTTTACTATAGTTAACTACGTAAATATGCATTTCATTCTACTCCTCATTTCAATTGCTGACCTTTTCTTTTGTTTACTTCCAAACAGTAAAGTGCGTCCAAAAACTGAGCAGAAAAAAGAGGGAGAGATTGACCCAAAGTTTTGGGAGATTTTGCTGAGCGCTGATAAGAAAGACTATGAGCGCATCTGTGCTGAATATGGAGTGACTGACTTCCGGTGGATGCTGAAGAAGCTGAATGAAATGAAAAGAGAACGAGAGGAAGAGCAAGCGCAGGTATGTCAAAGAACTTCCAGATGTTGAAGTGAAACTTTGCCTAACAAGCACAAAGGATTGTGTTCCTCATATTCATGGTCATTTTACCCTCTCCAGTTTGTCAAAAGCATTTCCAGCCTGAAGCACATTGAAGTCAAAGGCGATGGCACAGCCTCATTTGAAGTTGATCTGGACCTTATAGACCCGAGTAGTAGGATTTTCATCTATAAGGTAAGATGACTAACATGTCCTGGCTTGAACTCACATTTCAAGATAAATTCAGAACGCTGAAGAGCCGTGGCATTTTGGAGACTTAAGTATTATCTTTAGGATGGAGAGATGATTGAATACTCCAAAGACATGGACTTGGAGATTAAACACAGCCTGAAACAAGTGGGCAAGAAGTTTGTGTTCACTGTCAGAGACCTCCTCCCTGATGACGCTGGCCTTTATCAGATAGATGTTGAGGATGTAAATATGTTCTCCACGGAATTTAAGAGTAAGTGAACATTCAAAATAATCTCTGAATGCTCTTTGTCATAGTTAAACATGACACTGAATCAATTTCTCTCAGTTCCACAGGTGGACTTCTTGGTGAAGATTCAGGAGGTCAAGGCAATAGAAAGGGAAGATGCAGTGTTTGAGTGCGTTCTGTCCAATCCTTTTTCAAAAATCCTGTGGGTGGGGAAGAGTGTTCCTCTTGAACAGGGAGAAAAATACGACATTACAGTGTCTGAGGACAAGCTCATTCACAGACTTGTGGTGAAAGACTGTATGCAGGTAGATAAGGGCATCTATGCTGCTGTGGCTGGAATCAAATCTTGTAATGCCTGGCTGTTAGTGGAAGGTAAGGTCACTCTCCCACTAGTGCTTGGCGATATATTGTTTTTATCGATATACTGTGACACTACATAACCTACAAATTGGTTGCAATTCATAGTAGTAACAAAATAAGTTTTAAGATTAAATACTGAATAATAAGCCTAGGGTCCAAGGAGTTAAAGTGGTGCCTGGAGGTTTGTAAACCCTTCAGAAATTATTATTTCTACATAAAACTGACCTAAAATATGATCAGATTCATCCAATTCTTCCAATTCATAACAATAGACAAAGAGAACAATTAAATCGTTTTTCGTTCATTTATTGGACAAAGTGATCCAATATTAAATGTCTTTGTAGGTAAAATGCAAATGAGTTTAAAGTATATGAATGATCAGTTTGGAATAATAATTCATTAATGGTCAGGAGTGTCAATAAATTGGATAACATGGCCTGTGAGTGTGGGTCCTGCCCTATTTAAAACACATTAACCTGAGTCTTCACTGTCAAAATCTGGCACACCATTCCTCAGTAAAAGAACTGACAATGCTCATCAGGCTGAAGGATATTTCCAAACAACTTCTGAAGAGTCTGGACTTAACCTATCCACTGACAGGGCATGAATGGAAAAATTCCAACAAAATTGTTACTCTCTGTGGTCAACCAACAAAAATCAAGGCGTATACATTTCTGGGAGATCACACAGAACCCCAGGGTAACATCTTAGGATCTGTAGGACTCTCTTGCACTGGCTAGTGTCAGTGTTCATCACTCCACCATCAGACAAACACTGAACAAGTATATTGTGTACAGAATGACAGCAGAGAGAAGGCCACTGATCTTCAGTAATATCACTCCCTTTTGCCTGAAAATCACATGGGTGAGCCAGATTATTGAAAGAATGTGGACTGATAGGGCAAAAATATAACTTTCTGGCTTAAATAAGAGATGTTATGGTGAAAACCAAAACACTGCATTTCAGCACAAGAACATCATCCCAACTGCGAAGCACGCTGGTGGCAGGGTCATGGTTTGGGGCTATTTTGCTGCCACTGGACCAGCACAGCTTTTTTCTGGGCTGTATCAGGAAACTCTGAGAGGAGAATGTTAGGGCATCCCATCCTGAAGCTCAACAGAAGGTCAGCAAGACAATAATCCTAAACACACCACCAAAGAAAAGGCTGAAACAAAAGAATTTTGCATTTTGGAATGGCAAAGACAAAGTCCAGACCTTAATCCATGCAACGAAGCCCACCAACACAACTGAGAGGGAGCTATTCTGTAAAGAGGAATGGGACAAAATGTCTCCACAAAAAGTCAATGAGCAGAACTGATCAACAGTTACAAGAAACATTTGGCTGACGTTATTGCTGTTCAATGAGGTCAAGTCAGTTAGTGAAAGCAGGAGTTCACATTTTCTAACAAAGACATTAAAACTATATGAAAAACTATAAAATTGTTTGTGTCAATTGTTTTATTGAGTTCTCTTTATTATGTCATTGAAGATCTGATCATATCTTACGACAGAATTTCTAGCGCCACTGGTCATCTTTTTGCTATATTAAGTCACTAACTTACTAACCTGTATTCCTATCATAGCTAGAGCTCGTTTTTATTTGAAATTCTTTGTTTTCATAATCAGCTGACAATGATCCAAAACTGCAAGGCAAAAAGAAAGCACGAAAAACAACACAGGCTGGAGGATCAGGCCTTGACCTGGCAAAGATTGCAGCAGAACAGCAGGCCAAGCTGCAGAAAGAGAGAACGGAGAGGATTGAGGCTGCTAAAACAGCCAAGGCAGAGAGAGACGCAGCAGGGGGAGGAGCTAGCAGCACTTCTGGACCTGGATCTGGCACCAGTGCTGGGGATGGTGGTTCTGGAGCTGATTTAGGATTTGGTTCTAGTTCAGGGTTTGGCTCTGGCTCGGGCTCAGGCTCTGGATCTACACCTGGATCTGGCTCTCGCTTTGGAGATCATGCTGGAGGAGGGAAAGAAACAAGAGGAGACACTTCTAGACGCACTGGGCATGCTGGGGATGGACAGACTGGTGTAGCCAGTGAAGGGGCAGGTAAGAATGCTGTACTAATAGGTTTTTTCTTGAGGAGAAAGATTTATTAATTGTAATCATTTATGCAATAATGTTCTTGGTTTTATTTTCTACCTAATATCACTTGTGAAAAGATTTGTGATTACATTAGACTGTTCTTGTAAATATTGCAAATAAATGTGAGCATGTTTTGAAACATGAATATGAATGTATCATTCTTATCAGTCACTTGATGAAACTTAAGGGAACTGCTGCCCTAAGGAATTCATGATGTGTGGGAGACCTTTTAACTGTAGAAGAAACTAATAGTAATTTGAATTACTGCATTATTGTTACTAATTGTGCAGGAAAACTGTCAGGATCATCAGGACAATCTACAGGCGGTGGTGTAGGTACTGACACACTACTCAGAGACTCTGGCTTTGGTAAGATTGTAAAATATATGCCTACTAGTGCATGGAACCAAATACCTTCTCAACTTCTCCATGATGTTAAAATCTGGGCACTGCTTCGATAGAATTATATGATGCATATCTTAACAGCAGTTCTTAACAGTGTCTGATGATAGAGAGATACAATAGCAGAACAGGACTTTGCACTCAACTGTAACTTGTCACCTATGGGGTTGTCATATTCATGTTTGGCCACAGTGTGGCACTCTAAGAACACTTTAAACATCTCATCTTCTCTCTAAACATCTCAGTACAGACGGGATGCTACCACTTTATTTCCTTCTAACATAAGCTGTATGTTTTTATATCAGCTTTGTGGCTTGCACATTTCACAAATATAATACATTTCTGTTTAGCAAATAAAAACAAATTCCCCCAATACAAATGCTGATCCTGCTTGAGCAAACATTTTGTCATTTATTCTAAAAGGGTTTAGCAAAGCAGCACTAATCTGTGGAATGGCATAAAGTCATTACTGCAGCAGTTCATATAAAAGTCCATTTAATAGTTACACATATATATGACTGTTGTCGGAAGAAAACCTCGTATCTCCAAAATGGTAACTTTACAGGAGAAGGAAAAAACTTTACTTTTAACATAAGTCAATGAAACCAGACTTCTTTCCAAGACATTTCTTTTAGTCCATTCATCATGACATCTCCATACAATGTAAAGGGCAAAAGGGCATTTTCAAATTGTCAAAAACTGAAAACGACAAAAATGGAGATATGAGGTTTTCTTCCGACAGCAGCGATGTGTGTGTGTGTGTGTATAGGCATCAAATAAATGTTTAGATTTGATCTATATTTTAAAACAATGTTTGATGATGTATTTACTGTACTCTAGAACAACAGAATGTTTAGTTGATGTTAGGCTACTCTTTGTAACCCTACACAAATACATTTTATATTTATATTTTATATTCATATGTAACGCTGATGTAGTCCCAATTTCTACATTTTATAAATGCATATGTATTGATATTAGCACTGGCCCACTATTCCTGTATCAGTGCTTCCCTAGAATCAAGTGTAGAAATCAATGTAAAATAATACTTGTGTTTATAGCCCTGTGATTTGCTTCATAAAATGCACGCAAATTAATACAATCAACATTTCCCATCTAACTTTCATTATGCACTAAGTATTTCAACGACTCAAAGTATTTTATGCACACGGAACCAAATAACATTGAAATGAAATTAGAACCAACATATATTAAGAAACCACACAAAGTTACCAAAAATGAAAAATATTATTAACTGCCTAATATGGCAATTCCATCTGTGCTTCTGCTAGATGGTCAAATGCACCTGACCAGTGGACTGTCAGATGTTTATGCAGCCCGTGGCAAGCCAGCAGAATTAGTCTGTAAACTCAACAGCAATGTGGATGGAGTTTGGTTCAAAGATGGAGAGAAGGTAACACACTCATTAAAACTTTTTTTAATGAACTCTTTGTAAAAAATGTTTTTTTAATATTCTCTTGTTTTTGCTCCTCAACAAAGCGATTCTTTTTTTCCTCTCCATGGTTTTTGATAGCTTTCCTCTAAAGGTGGACTGACTATATCCAAAGATCAGGGTATTCATAAACTGACTATCCAAAGTTGCAAGGATTCCGACTCAGGCAAATATGAGTTTGAAACAAATGACTATAAAACCAGTGCTACAGTGACAGTCGGAGGTATCCAAGTCTATTTATGGTGCTTTTCTTTTTGCAAAGTATTTATATGTCACTGAAAACATATGCAAGAATAGTTAAAAACATAACAAGATGCTGGTCACGTCTATGAATGTTTCAGATGCTCCAGAATTTGACCCTGATGAACTGCATAACTTCTCCAAACCTGTGGTAGTGAAAGCAGGCCAAACTGCATCCTTTAAGATGAGGTTTCCACCACAAGATTCTCTGGAGATCAAGTGGTTCAAGGATGCTTACGAGCTGAAGGATGGTGGTGGGGTGAAAGTCGTGAAGGAACCAAATCACAGTCGCCTTCAAATAAAAGACTGCCTGGAATCAGATGCTGGAGAAATTAGGATCCAGCTTAAAAATCTTTTTGGTACTGTTGAGGCCTTATCCAGACTAATTGTGCTTGGTAAGGAGAGATAATTGTGATTACGCTCCATTCAGAAAATTCAGTGTTTATTACAGACTAACTGATAACTAATATTTCAAGCAACACATTTGTTCCCCCAACAGGCAAGCCAAGTCCACCAAAGGGCCCTGTAGAGGTGTTGGAAAGCACTGACTCTGTAATCGAACTTAAGTGGAACCCACCAAGTGATGATGGTGGCTCAGCAGTAACAAACTACATAATTGAGCGTCAGCAGGCAGGCCAAAGTTTGTGGAAAAGGCTGGGGGATGTCTCAGCAGATCGAGCAAGCTTTAGGGACAGAAATGTGTCCCACGGCAAGAGGTACACCTACCGCATTTATGCAGAGAATCCTGAGGGCATTGGTGACCCGCTGGAGACTGACAACATCATGGCTGGCACTTTAAGTAAGAGGCATTGTTTGTTTGTTTGTTTATGTTGATGGTCATTAAGGTCTGGTGTACAGTACAAATGGCAGGTCAAACCACAAGTAAGCATGAGACAAGAATAATGACAAATTGTTTTGGTTGCAAGTCATGTATGAACAACAAGCAGGGCTGTCTCTCTTAAAAAGGACCACACTGACCACTTAATACTCGTCAATGTGTTGCAGTATTCCCTGACCCACCAGCTCCTCCTAAGGTGGTCAGCGCATTTAAGAACTGCATTAATCTGGAGTGGACTCCTCCAGCAAAGGATGGAGGAACAGAACTTCTGGGCTACCTGTTGGAGAAACGCAAGAAAGATACAAACCAATGGGTAGCTCTGAACCCTGCCAATGAGCCCATTAAAGGTATTTTTGGTTTCCTTGACCTGCAGATGCTCAATCATTGCAGTGACTGCAGCAATTTCAATGCAAACACGCTTTAACTTAAAGGAGTATAAATGAAACGCTTACATTAATAAATATACTCTGCCCTCTCTCAGCGCTGAAATATGCTGTGAAGGAGGTGTCTGAAGGATCAGAGTATGAGTTTAGAGTGTCAGCCATTAACGCCTCTGGAGCTGGAGAACCCAGTCGCCCCTCTTTGATGGTCTGTGCTAAAAATCCCAACCGTAAGTGGCAGGAACAACAGGCATAAAAGTAAAATCTAATGGAAGCTAAATTAATCTGAAGTTTCAAGGCTTTGTAAACATTTCAGTTAACTTCCTGTTAACTATTGCCTTTCAGTGAAACCTTATTTCAAAGACCCTGAAGACTTCATGGTTGTTAGAGCAGGAAATTCTGTCAGAATCAAAATCAATTATGAGGTGAGAGACTGACTTCTAAAGTATTTTTAAAGTAACATCTTTCCCTTGTGCTACTCCTCCCTGTAACATGTGTAACTGCATATGTACAGGCTTCTCCACTACCAGAAATCCAATGGCTGAAGGAAAATGAACCTGTATCTTCATGGATCAATATTGTCAACGTTGAGGGCACATCGACTCTCATCATACCCAGCTCAAAGCGCTCAGACTCAGGCGTGTACACCATCGTGGCCAAAAACTCCAGCGGAAAGACTAGTTTTGACATAGAGGTCAGAGTAACAGGTAATGATAGCCTCTTTTTTACCGTCATTGTTGTCTCACTCCAGGAATAATCTGGGTGTAGTAGCTGTAATAGTTTATTAATGCTTACATAAAACCCATCTGGCTATCAAGCACGACTGGCCCAAACAGCATTTTACAGTTGACTCGTTGATATTACTTAAATCAACCTTATACACAACAATATTTTAAGTGTTGTTTTTTTTCTTGTGATGAAATGTTTCCATTTTAATCAGTGTTTTATTTGCCACTGGCTGTCGATCACTTATACGTGAATGAAGTGAAACTACCACTTCCTTAAAATTATAATTTACTGGAATGTTGTGATGTTTCTGGCACTGGAGCTTCGGAAAGGCTTCAGCACTGTTCTAACAGTGCGTGGAGGCTTCACTTCTCTGTTACAGTGGTAAAATCTTATGATTCTGTGGAAATAAACAGATCTGTTGTTTGTGCTGTCAGGTTTTAAACCTGTTGCAAAATTATTTAGAAAAGAACGGAGGGGAAAAAGCTAATATTCCTGCCTGAAGTGGTCACGTGACTGAAGTAGTACTCAAGTAAGGGTCATATTTGAGATGATTCATCAAACTTGTCCTGTCTCTATGGTATGGCAGTTTCTTATTGCATATCTTATACTGGCCATTTTCTGATCATTTTCCTATCCTTTAGTTGTGATTTGTTCTGAGGCATCTTTTGCTTTTTTAGCTTCAACAGCCACATGGAAAGAGGCACAGTTTGTTGAGCTCTGAGGCAAGGAGACAAACATGCCGGGCATGAATTTATGAGGCATTTAACTAAACCAGCTACATATATTTTTTTCTCCTCAACTTTTTCTATGTATTAGTATTTGCTATCCACTCTGAATTATTTTTCTGATTTTTTTTTAGTATTTTTTTCTTGAACTTTTTCTTTTCTGATTTTTTTTTGGATTTGGAAAAGTGGCAGAAAAACAGGGAAACAAATACCAATCATTCAAATTATTCAGGCCAGCCCTACTGTCAAGTAATGAAAATTAAGTTCACTTACATCCCAAGGGTGAAACTTTGATCTGGCTCAATAAACCAGTCACAGCAATTAGCACTTCAGCACTGTGTATTTATTATGGTGGCCAGAAAATCATGCAAAGGACATTTTACAGACCAGCAAAGGCCAACACACTCAAAAAGATGGTTCTTCGAAGGTACTTTAGTAAAGGCAATGGTTCTATTTTGAGTTTAAAATAAAACTATTTGAGTTCTAAATAAAACTCATTGTTGTATATAGTTCTATATAAAACCTTATCAAAAATGTTGCATATAGAACCACATACAACACATTCTTCATCAGTCTGAAGAATCATTTCTTCATGAAATGGCTCTTTATAAGAGTCAATATTCTAAATAGAACCACTGCCTTTACTAAAGAACCCTCAAAAAAGCATCTTTTTCAATTGTAGCTGACATGAATAAAATTTACGTACTGTGACTTAGTTGGCCATTTTCCTCAATATACATTGAAGGTACAAATTATAAACTGCCTACTATCCATTCTTTTAAATTCTGTGCCACCATTCTATGTCCACCATGTGTCATCAGATGAACCCAAGCAACCAGGCCCAGTGGCACTGGAGCAGATGGTCCATGGTAAGGTCATCATTACATGGGCTCCTTCACCAGACCAGAAGCTGGATGACCGGCTGCACTACATGATAACAGAGTACGACTCCAACACACGCATATGGCGCCCAATAGCTGATCGCCTCTTCTGTTTAACTTACACCACCAACGTCCACTCGGGCCGAGAGTACCGCTTCAGAGTCTATGCCAAAAATGACATGGGACTATCAGAGCCCTCCGAATCACCAAAATGGGGCATCAACAGTTGCAAAGGTGAGGATAAGTTACAGAACAGAAATTGTAGGTCCCATATTATACTGCACAAATTGGTCACTCATCAATAGCACAGGTGTTTTATGGTGATGTTCTCAAACACAGTCTTTTAGACATATTAAAGCATATAAAGCAGCACAATATATCAAAAATCCATTAATATCAACTTTGCACACCTGTAAGCAATTCCAAGTGCCAGGTTTTTAAACTATACAGAGATATTTGAATACAAGCCTTGCATGTGGTTGTACATTCAAACTCATTTGCAAGACAAAGTTAATTTATAAATGATATGTGCCATTTTGCAAATCTGCATAAGAATTCATTCTGTTCACTTTCTGTTGCTTGTCTAGCTTCACAATTCAAAGCTCTGCCAGCCTTGATCACATTTGAGAGACCTCCCTCCATTCTGGTTCCTTTGAAAGTCCACACTCCACCAAAGGGCTACCAGTGCTACATGACTTGTGCCATTCGAGGCTGCCCTGCACCCAACGTCTCATGGTACCTGAACGGCATCTGCATCAACTCTGATAACCATTACTACATTACCAACGTTCATGGAGTTTGCTCCTTGTACATCCTCAGAGTGGGACCCAGGGATGGTGGCGAGTACAAAGTGGTGGCAATCAACTCATTTGGGAAAGCAGAGTGTTCTGCCAAACTGAAAGTAAAAGGTAAAGGAAATATCTAGATTAAACTGGTCCAGCTTCTGTTGTTGTGATTATTATTATTATTATTATTATTATTATTATTAACAATAACAACAGGTGTCTTGCTGCTATTAACAGTGATTTTCCAATTTCTTTATTTTTCAGATTGATCTTCTGCATGTGATACTGGAAGATAATAAAGATGATTCATTTATTTTTCCAACCAGACAATTCACACACTCACAAAGTGTGCATAATCTCTTCTCTGAACATTTACCTTACCATTGCAATATCTAGTTTAATACACTGCAGATGTCTGTTATAAATATGAGTAACTTTTAATTACACAATTAAACTTAATTTGACTTTCTGTTCCTCCATTCTGGTGTTGGGTGTTTGTGTTCTGTTTGTTTAGTCCTCCAATATCTGATTTTGACCTCTAAGCAACTAATCTGGGTCACTATGTAAGAAAGCAGAGACTGTGTAAAGGTGTGCCAGTTTTCCAGTTTGGGGTTATGTGATTTCAACTAAAATTAGCATTGTGTAACCACATAACAGTCATCAATGTGATTTTTTTAACATTAGTTTAAAGTAAACATTGTCAGAATGATGTGGCTTTAAAAGTTAGATCTCAAATGTTTATCAAACACACGCTATTTTTGGCAGTCCTGTTTCAGACCCTGTATAATATGAACTGGACAACAAACAAACAAACAAACAAACAAGCAAGAAACAAATAAATAAATCATATAAACAGAAAATCTCAGGAAATAAATTCATTCTATACAGGTCTACACAGCTTTTAGTTCTCTAATTAATGACAGCAGCTAGCAGATTGAGTGACACACAAAAGCAGACCCTGTAATTTAGATGTCACAGCATTAATAGCTAAACATCTCTACTGTTCAACTTACACCACCATAGTCTACCACTTCAGAGTCTATGCCAAAAATGACATGGGACTATCTGAGCCCTCAGAATCACTAACATGGGGTGTCTACAGTTGCAAAGGAGAAGATAAGAGACTGTGTGGAGGTGTGCCAGTTTTCCAGATCTGGCTTACGAGATTAAACACTAATCTCAGTTATAATCACATTAGAGTCATTAATATAATTTTTAAAAATATTTTACATGTTGAGTATTACACACACACACATACACAGACCGGCCACATCAACTATATAGGTGCACTTTGTGGTTCTACTTCTGTTGACTCTCGGTTTTTCTGCATACTTTGTTAGCCCCCTGCGCTGGTACAAGTGGATCAGACACAGCAGTGCTGTTGGAGTTTCTGTCCACTCTATTAGACACACCTAGGCAATGGCTCATCTATAGATGAACAGTTTGTGTTAGTCATGCTCTAGACCAGGGGTCACCAATCTTATCCACAAAGGGCCTGCGTGGCTGCAGATTTTCACACTAACCAAGCAGAATCTCACCTCATATAACTCAGGCTCAGCACATGCTAAGGCTTATTATTCAGTAACAGAGACTTTAATGCAAAGTAGCTGAGCTATTCTTAGCTTATACAAGTGTGTCATAAAACTGTGGGCATACCCGCGGGTCATGGCCCTTTAAGGGGTTAAACAAGTGGGACCAGATGTGCAACCTCACTGGTCCTTTAAGGATAAGACTGTTCACCCATGTCTCAGCCATTCATCAGTGGTCACAGGACGCTGCCCACTGGACGCTGGATTGAAATTTGGGGTTTCTGGACTATTCTTCTATTTCCAAACTAACATGCCACCACTATAGATTCAAAATTTGTTTAGACTTTTAGAGGCATCAGAGCACATATTCACAAATCTTCTCAGCATAGGATGGCTTTGACTAGCCACCATGCTCCAAGATATGAGAGCAACTGTCTGAGAATGTCAAGCCTGTTCAACCCAGTACATATGAAATACAATCCTTCTCTAGAAGCAGAACAGACATGTGCACCAACCCATACGCATGTCTTCCCCAAGGCTAGAATCAAAACCTGCACTCATAACTTTATTCTGCTGCCCCTTGCCAATATTGACCTAATATTTTATTGCTCAACGAAAAGAGTAAGTCGATCCCAAAGTCTGGAAGCCAGTAAAGGCACTGGCTACAGAGAGAAGTAAATCAGAATTAATGAGTCCATCCTCCACCTTCTTTTTTTCCCCCGATAGTCTGTGCAGCTTCCAAACTACCATCCACGTTCAACAACTCACAGAAGCAGACAGAAATTCATGGTTCTACAAAAAGTGAGTTGATTAATTTAATTAATGTGGAAGAATTTAATGACAAATTGGAATAAAGAATATCTCTAGAGTCAAACCCAGACAGATTAATTTGCATGTTTATTCCACCCGCAATTCAGTTATTTTATGTACAATTGAGCAAAATAAGTACAGACACTCAGAAAAAAAAGGAATGAAATAATTAGATTTTGTATTTCACTTTCAGTTTAGATATTTGGGCTTTCAACATTCTGCTTACTCAAACATCATGTGTATTCTCGGCACTGATGTGAAGAAAGTAAAAAAATGGTAGAAAGAAAGCATATTATCCTTAGTTCATTGTTGTCCTGGATCAGACTAAGTTGCAAAAATGTCATTCATTTACAGTGCTTATTTACAGAAATGCCAGATTAAGTTATAGAAAATTAACATTCAAATCATCACACAAATCTGTTAATACGGCAAACACAGGATTTTTATATAGAATAAATGGGGTGAGTATGTTTCTTTTTAGCGTAGGATACGTGTTGTTGCATTCTTTAGTACAAATTTGTTTTCTTCTTACTTGGACATAGTGAATATTCTCTTTCCAGTGAAAAGGCAGATCATGTGTTTTAGGGGGGAATGATCTAAAAATATTATAATTATTTTGTGTACTAAATATAATAGGTAAAACTTAGAAACCAGGGAACATGAACATCTTCAACCTTCAGGCCCAGACTATGCAGTTTACACATCATACTCAATTTACACAAAGCATGTATTATTAATTGCTAAGCAATCTAAATTTGAGATCTGAGAAAGCCCCAGGGAGCTGCAATGGACATGCTAGGACATGAATTTTATGAGGTATATGACCTATGACCTATCAAACACAAAATAACAACTGTCCTCTGCAGCTTGCAAACATCGCAAAGGATCCTATGAACTCTAGAACACTAAAATTAAAAACTGTACTGTTGGTTTTGTATTACTCCACACGCAACATATCAAATTTCTGTTTATCAAAACTGGTTCTGTTTTCTAAAGCAATATGTATCAAATTTAAAACTGGTTCTGTTTTTTAATGCAATATGTATCGAATTTAAAACTTGTTCTGTTTTTAATGCATTATGTATCAAATTTAAAACTGGTTCTGTTTTTAATGCATTATGTATCAAATTTAAAACTGGTTCTGTTTTCACTGTAACATATATGCACTTTTTTTGTAATATCACAAAGTAAAAACATATATATAACATATATCAATACTTTGGTGATTAAATAGAAAACAGGGCCATCTTATGGTCCGTTAAGCATTTTATAAGAATGCCTTGAAGTTTAAATAGTGAAATACCAAACAAGCAGGCAATCCTTACAGAAAATTTAAACAGGGAATATTAGAAATAAAAAATACATATGTTTTATCTGGATGTAGCTCCATGACAGACATCCTGAAGATTCATTTTCAAGTATATTTTAAATATACAGTCATAATTGGAGTGTGATTTACAAAATCATATATCAGCTCCATGATCCTGCTGAGGACAGACTGCGTGACGTTTACTACCAGAAGAGGAGAAGGCTGGACCATCACGACATATCCCAAGGGGTAGTCAGAGAAATATAGCTGTCAAATAAAGTTTCATATTACATGTTTACACCCACAGTGTCTTGGCCTCTGATGGATAGTTCCCCTGCATGTGCAGTGATTTGCAATGAGATGATTTTCACTTCTATCCACTGCACTAATTTCTACAGATAAAATGAATTAAATGATTCCAAATTTACACAGACAGTAACACTCTAGCACATGGGACTTCTGTAATAATTTACATTTGCATGCAAACTGTACTAGTATGCAATCCTTTAATAACAAAAGTAAAATAACAAAAAGTAAAAACAAAAGTAAATAATTTCATTTTAAAAAGATTGACAAGGGAAAAAGCCTAAACTGGACTTGAAACCTTTAAAACTGCAGCCTCCCACAAGAATGGGGAAATCAAATTTTACTGTTTCTCAGTGTGCAGGCAAAAATGTGTGAAAGAATCCTACATACAGTTAGGCCCAGAAATATTTGGACAGTGACACAATCTTCATGATTTGGGCTCTGCATGCCACCACTTTGGATTTAAAATGAAACAACTGAGATGCAATTGAAGTGCAGACTTTCAGGTTTAATTCAAGGGGTTGAACAAAAATATCCTACGAAACGTTTAGTAATTTTTCTACAAAGCCTCCTCATTTCAGGGGCTCAAAAGTAATTGGACAAATTAACTTTACCGTAAATAAAATGTTCATTTTTAATACTTTGTTGAGAATCCTTTGCAGGCAATGACTGCCTGAAGTCGGAAACCCAGGGACATCAACAAACACTAGGTTTCCTCCTTTGTGATGCTTTGCCAGGCCTTTACTGCAGCTGTCTTCAGTTGTTGCTTGTTTGTGGGTCTTTCTGCCTTAAGTTCTGTCTTAAGCAAGTGAAATGCATGCTCGATCGGGTTGAGATCTGGTGATTGACTCGGCCATTGCAGAATATTCCACTTCTTTGCCTTAAAAAACTCCTGGGCTGAGCAGAAAGTATATCCCTGTACACTTCAGAATTCAACCAGCTGCTTCTGTCTTCTGTCACATCATCAATAAACACTAGTGACCCAGTGCCACTGGAAGCCATGCATGCCCATGCCATCACACTGCCTCCACCATGTTTTACAGAGGATGTGGTGTGCTTTGGATCATGAGCCGTTCCAAGCCTTCTCCATACTTTCTTCCCATCATTCTGGTACACGCTGATCCTAGTTTCATCTGTCCAAAGAATGCTGTTCCAGAACTGGGCTGGTTTCTTCAGATGTTTTTTGGCAAAGTCTAATCTGGCCTTTCTATTTTTGAGGCTGATTAATGGTTTGCACCTTGTGGTGAACCCTCTGTATTTGCTCTCATGAAGTCTTCTCTTTATGGTGGACTTAGATACTGATACCTACTTCCTGGAGAGTGTTCTTCACTTGGGATGGATGTTGTGAAGGGGTTTTTCTTCACCATGGAAAAGATTCTGCAATCATCCACCACTGTTGTCTTCCGTGGACGTCCAGGCCTTTTTGAGTTCCCGAGCTCACCAGTGCGCTCTTTTTTTCCCAGAATGTACTAAACTGTTGATTTGGCCACAGCTAACATTTCTGCTATCTCTATGATGGATTTCTTCTTTTTTTCAGCCTAATG